TATTATTTCAAGTCGTGCGTTGATGATGATTGAAGAATGTTGTTAAGAATTCAGATTTGGTACTTAATAAGGTTTTAAATGTGGAAAACCAAATAAAGGAATGCTTTGGAATCCGAGTAAATCAAAGGCACCTTTATATAGGTTGCCTTTAGGCACAAGGCCCATTAATCCAAACACGGGTAGGAGAAGATTTTCCTCTCCGAGTTGAACATTTTCCATTATTTATGTCTCTTAAAGATTCTTGGTTCTTGTCAGAACACATTTTGTTGGAAAATATACATTTTTGTGAAAAATACTCATTTTCTCCTGAAATACCTATTTTTCTGTGCTCTCTCTCTCTCTCTCCCCTCCTCAACAAGTCATGGAAAGCGGCCACCTAATAGAAAGATGCAAGAAAACGCTGGACAGAGAAATGAAATCGCTAGAGGCGACAGAAGTAGGGGTGGAAAAAATGAGCCAACCCGTCGGGTTGGCTCGTAACCCGCAAAAAATGAGCCGGGTTGGGTTGGCAAAAATGAGCTGCCAACCCGAGCCAGCCTGACCTAGTCCAGCTCGAAAAAAAATGAGCCAACCCGCGGGATAAATGGGCCAGCTCGCGGGTTCATTTTTTTTTTTAATTAAAAAAAATGAAACATTAAAATGTATAAAGGTACATTGATTTTACCCATGGAGAATGAGATATTAAAATGCAAATGAAATACTGGTAAACTATGAAGTGTGGGTGGTGATGCTACGATATGTTTGCAGAGAAGACGAGGACTCAACGTGGTTGAGGAGGAAGACCGATGGGGGACTAAGCTAGTGTATGTGGTCTTCGACGGTGAGGAGGGGATCCATACAGTGTCTATGGAGTTGGGTGATTTGCGGTGAAGGTGAATCGGTGAGGAGAGGTCCGGTTGAAGGAAGTGGGAGAGATGGTCTGCCACGGTGGGTATAAGTGGTGTGGTTGTGGATCGAAAAAAAATTAAAAGGGTGGAAGAGGTAGTGTGAGGCAGTGGTGGCTGTGGGTTTTTGATGATTTAGGATGGAGGTCAGATGTGAGTGTGGGTTACCAGTTTGCTATTTGGGTGATGAGACTATGGGGATGGCTGTGGTAGGTGAGTTGACCGGCAATGAGGTTAAGAGATTGGCTTGGTGGCCGGTGGTTATGGGTCTTCCGGTGAGGGAATCAAAGATTGGAGAAGGGTTTGGTGGTGAAGGAAGAAGAGGGATGAGGCTGTGGGTTGGATGGGTTGTTGGCTGAATGGAGCGGTGGATTGAGGTTGTGGGTCTTTGGGTTTTGGCTGAGCCAGCTCGTGAGTTTTTTTTTTAGCCAACCCGCGAGCCAACCCTAACCCGGCTCGGGTCGGGTTGGGTTGGATTTTCTCGCTCGTTTTTTTTTAGCCAACCCTAACTCGGCTCGATTTTTTCGGGTTGAATGCGGGTCGAGCCGGGTTGGCCCGTTTTGCCAACCCTAGACTGAAGGGCTTCTCGATCACCTTCAATTGAAGGCTTTTGAGCTCGCTCACTATTTTTTAGTTTTTCAAGGCATAGTACTCACGGTTTTGTGCAACAGCGCCACTGGTCTGAATTGTTCAGATCGGTGGTTCCTTTTCAACCTTTCTGGGTTGCATCGACCCTCAACTTGGCGGCTGTAGTCTCCATTGGTATCAGGTTTGTGACCGCTTGAGCGAGAGTGGTGTATCTTCATTCCATTTTTTATGTACAAAAGTTACTTTACCAACATCAAGGTTTGATTTCCTTTATCTGAGTTTGAGATTGAGGTTTTGAGTCACTTGCGGGTAGCACCTTCTCAGCTTCATCATAACGCTTGAGGCTTTATCCGAACGTTCCAAATAGTATGTAAATATTACCCTTGGGACTATAGAGTTCGAATCTTCTTTTTTGTTTTCAAGTTCTCCTCACGGTAAGAAGTGGGCTTGGGTCTCGCTTAAGACGGGTGCTAGGTTAAGGGTTGCCTTTACCATTTATTGTGATTCATATAAACACTTCAAGGAGTACTTCTTCTGGATGCACCCTCAGCTTCAAGCAGATGCTAAGCCCTTCTTTGTGAATCCCAAGAATGGTGAGAACCGGTTCAAACTCTATTGATCTAGGAGGCATTATGAAAAACCACCCGCCATTATTCATTCGAATATGATATGTTGTTTGACTCGAAAAAATATGTGGCTGATTGCCTTCATAAAATTAGGGATGAAGGAGGAAATGGACGACCAAGAGAGTGATAGATTATGGAGGAGAGAGAGTGCTCAATTGACTATTGGTTTTTGTCTCTTATTCCCGATTTGTTAGGAATGTTTGTTTCTTACTTTGGCTTCTTTTTTGCAGTTGAAAACATGTCGTCGGACGCCCTGAAGCTTGCCCAAGAGGCCCTGAAGTTTTTTCTATGTAGTCACTCAACATGTCAAGTTCTTCCCTTAGTCGTTGGTCATTAGTTTCTTTAGCCACATTCTCTTTCCTCCAAGATGGCTCTCCGATTTCGACCAAGATCATGGCGTCGTCCCGTAGGCTATTCTGAACAATGTTTCTCTAGTGGCTGAGAGAAGCCTTCTTGTACATGCGGCCTTCAATCAAGGCAAAACTAGCACTTCTTCTTACTATCTTTTTTGCTTTTTTTTACTCAGAATGATGTAACCGAGGGTGGAGACTGGTTTTCCACCCGGAATGATGTAACTATCGGTGAAGACCAGCTGTATCTTCATGTATTTTTCGCTCGGAATAATGTAACTTAGGGTGGAGACCGGTGCACCGTAACTTCCCACAGACGGCGCCAATGAATCGTTAGTGACGCAAGGAGCCAAGTATGTAACCCAGAAGGGTGTTGTGATCGCTATAGGGGTGTTCTTAGTAGCAATAGTGTAGACTAAGACTATGTAGGAAGGTCCCAGGCGCTTTGAATGACAATAGGGGATGGTGTTGAAATGGCTGCAATGGCTCTCTAAAGTGACAGAATAACAGCTCATGAATTTGTGATCTGGTCCTTCATAAAGAAGAAGAGAGGGGTACTTATAGTCAGGGTTGGGCCCTATCTGTGTAGGGAGACGAGCCAAGTCAACTACCATTGGGAGTAGCCATATCTGCTTGGCCTTGCTGGGGCAAGGCACTTTGCAGCTGCTGCAGTGCTAACAGTAGCTCCTATGTGGGGAAACATAAAAGGGGGGACACACTTTGGGTGCCTGTAAAGACAAAGGGGATGGGTGAGCATCCTAAGTAAGACATTCTAGTGTCTAATGTTGGGAAAGCTGTTGCGTGCAAGCAGGGAAGGCAATGTTAGGGCATCAGGGTTGGTGTTGCAGTGTTGGTAGGGCTGAGGTGGCTTGAACCTTGGCATTGGGCCTGCCACATTGGGCTAGCCTGAACAGACGATAGTTGTTGTTTTATGATCTGTGTAATGTGTTGTTGGATTAGAGAACACTGTAATGTTGATATGGTTTACTCCTTTTGGTGGGGCTTTGTTTTTACCCTTTTATGAGGGCATGTTGTGTATTCTGTCATTTAATTTTCTTATTTCTTTCAATTATGCTCTTGTCAAATAAATGAATAAACTTGGTTCATATGACAACTCTTAATCAAGGGGTACAGCATATATAAAATCACTAAGTAACAATGAAATCCCACGTTAAAAAACTGACCTGGCCAAGGCACATTTACAGTTATCCGGTCTAAGAAATAAAGAAATTGTAATTGTAAGAAAGTTTCATACTTGTATTAATGATGTTTTGTCATGTAATAATTAACATTTTCAAACTCATTAAATGCAGTGTTATCAAAATTTTAAAAAATATAAAATTTATTTATATTAATAATGCATCAAAATATGTCTAATATCATGATGTTTGTCTCAGGAATATGCTTTGTTACATGATATTGACCACCTTTTCTTATTAATAAGTGTTTCATATATGTTGAATTTATTTTATTAACCACATGTTGAGCCTAATTTTTTTGTTCCTTCGTTTTTCATACTCTTCGTTGTGAATATTCCATTCTTTATACAGGATTCACAGCTGTGTCAAGCTTCTCATATGATTTGTTACATTTATTCAGGAAAAATTAGCTCATAGATAGACTTGGATTCAGAAGATGAAGCCCTTAGGGTGGATTCTGAAACTACTCTTTCATTGTGATTTGTTACGTTGAATGGTACCAAATCTTTGAATGAAATGTACATTCGGCTGCATTTATTGTGGGATCAAAATGCATATATATCTTCTTTATAAAATGATTTATTAAAGGACTTTCTTAAATGTATGTTAGATGTTTTGTATATTGAGGGAGTATTTATTTAATTCTTTCACGTTCCAGGAACTGGTGAAATATATATATATATATATATATATATATATATATATATATATATATATATATATAATAATAATGAAATAAATTCCTATCGAAAAAGTCATTTAAAGAAGGACCAAGACAGAAGTCATACTTAATGTCACGACTTGATGCAAGTGGTGGTATGCTCTTCAGTTTATTGTTAAAGCTAACTACGTGTTTTTGTGAAAGGGTTCACTAAATATTAAAAAAAAAAAGATGGTTACTCTAAATAAAAATTTGTTGCGTTTTGTGGTTTATTTGTTTATTTTTACTCTCTTTTTTAATAAAAGCTTCCATTAAATAATATTGCTAAACTTTAAAAGAGAAAGAGAAGATGCACCATTAAAATGTGAAAGTGTGTGGTCCTTGTGAAGGGAGTAAGTCCGTAACTGATTCAAGTAGTTAGTTAGTTATAACTCCAAGAGAGCAACAGTTAGTTAGTTTAGAGTGCAAGCTCTGGAAACCGAAGCAATCATGTATATAAGTTTGCAAGTTTTGTAATTACCAAGTTCTCATCAAATTGTAGACTAGTAGTGTGATATTCATATGAGTGTATTCCATCTGATTAGCAATTTCATAACAAAGATTACTCTCTCGTTTCTTTCTTCTCTGTTCTTCCCTTCTGAATTCCCCTAACTAACTAACACACTGTGCAAGTGAAGTGAAGGTTGGTGAAAATGCCTCTCGGACATCGATTAGGGGATAATAGCCCTTCTCAATTCTGCGGTGTAGAGACGGAATTCAAATCTGCAATGTATCATGTCATCGATTTCAATATCACTGATGGAGGCTTCGATTTTGTTCTTGCTCCTCTGGTTCGTCTCATCTTCTTGTTTACAATCTCTGTACAGTAGTTTAAGATTTAGTTAAAAAGAAATGTCATAGAATATGCAGTTTCTTGATTCGTAAGAAAAACGATTGATCTTGCATTTTTTGAAGATAAGATCTGTTTTCTCCAGTCAAAAAAGAATTGGAAAACATATTATCTGTTACTTGCTGAGAAATGATTTTGTGGTGCAATGCAGACGGATCCTGATTATCGCCCAAGCTTAGCCCGAAAGTATCATTTCGGGTCATTTGCTGAAGGTATGCCATTTACCCGGTCAGACTTCAGCGTTGAACCATCACTATGGAATGAACACGTGGCAGGTATGAGTTACCTATTATTCTTATGACTAGCTTTTTTTTTTTCACTTTTTTATTGTGAATTTGTATATTTTTCATGTATATTACTTTTTATGAAAATCCTTATCATTTCTTTCCTCTGCTAATTTATTTTATGACAATCAAAAGCAGTATCAAATTTTGCTTTGATAGCTAGTGCCTAGTGGGACACCGGACACGGTAGTTTTGCTTCATGACTTTTTAGTTGCTGAAATTATGTTATAGAAAAATGAAATGAGATAATGAAATGAAATATGCTACACTTTTGAGAAAATGAAATGAGAAAAATCTCGTGTAAACCTTTTATTAATTTACATTTATTATTTATCTCAAGAGCTTAAGGGTAGATAATTTACAGATCTACCATGCGGAGAGTATTACGGATTAATAAGATTAAGAAGGGAATAATTTATAGGTCCATCATAGCAAGCAAGAGATTTTTTTTACTTAACATTTTATTAGAAGAAAAAAGTGACAGAAATGGAACCCTAAAACACAAGGATCGTAGAAGGCCAGAAGCTATAATGCCAAATTAAAATAATTATATTCAGAAACTTAAATTATTATAGGAAAATACTATTATTATTTCATATTATATTACTTCTTAACAGGATAATAATATAGATACGCAGATAAAAAATTATTTTTCTAGTTGGGGGATTAACTTTACTATGAAATCCCAAAGAACATTTGACGAAATATGAAAGTCGCTGTCTTGGCCACCAGGTTATAAATAAAATTGAGTTATTCGTAAACTCTTTTGACCTAACTTGTTAAATGTTTAATTATACTCAGTTTGTTTTATGGGAGAAATGTGACTGTATTTTAGTATATATAATTAAAAGGAGAGAGAAAAAATGTAAACAAAAGTATATATAAAATAGGAGCAGGTTATATTTACAAACTTTTTTGTTTACAAACTACACTATGTTCTCTCAGGAGAACACTAATTTCACTATGTTCTCCTAGAAGAACATAATGTGATTTGTAAAAAAAATTTAAAAAAATTTGTAAAGGGATCCTCCCCTATAAAATATTAATAAATATGTATCAAAATATGGTCATTTCAAAAAAACAAAACAAATTCCTGTCCTTAAAATAACAAATATTTTTGTCTTGTTCTATTTTACAAATAGGTTTAAAATTCACTCTGAATCAAGGTTAAATTTTATAGACTTGACATTAAAAGCTAAGTGTGTATGTATAATGACAAAAATATTAACTTTGAACAATAAAAAGATATAGATAATGATAATTTATATTTTTGTTACTTACTAAATTAAGTTCTATTTAGAAAATTATAATTATGAATTTTCATATTAAAATTATTTTTTATTTTTATTTCATCATATAATATAAAAATTACTAAAAACTAAATTAATAAACTTAAGATATTTTAACAATAAATTTTATAAAAAAAAAATAACGTTATTAACCATTTAAGCTTAAATTTCATTAAAAAATTCAAAGTCAAATATTAAATTTAACTCATTTAATTAAGGGTGCATTTTTTTTCTAATATTGTTGCAAAGAAATTTTTTTCAGAGTAAATATCATTTTTGCTCTTCAGTAAATTTTACGATACCCGTTTTAGTCCCTAGCAAATAAAAAGGCTCATTTTGGTCCCTACAAAATTCAAAATAGACTCATTTTAGTCATTTTGAGGACTAATATGAGTCTTTTTTGAATTTTTGAGGGACCACATTTTCAACTAAATGGGTCCATTTTGAATTTCTTAGGGACCACGACGAGTCTTTTTATTTGTTAGGGACTAAAACGGGCATCGTAAAATTTGCTGAGGACCAAAAAGATTATTTACTCTTTTTTTCATCAACTGATTATATTTTATACTGATAGTATATAATTATAATAATAATTTTTTTTTATCTTCTTAAATATTGTCGAGTGATGCCACTGAGAGAGAAAACTAATTTTATCATTTCATTATGTACTATCGTAATATACAGTGTAAATCGGTCGATGCAGACAATTATTTTTGCTATTTCCCTTTAATTAAATAATCCAAACTTGAAAATCTTGAACATTTGTGAAGGCTGGATAGCTCCGAACTTCTTATTTTCCTTTTGCTTGTTTTTGAATAAGTTATGTTTTTTGATACCTTCTATTTATGAATGCATTTAGTTTTCTTCTTATTGTAAGTGTTTCATTGATGTTGAATTTTTTATTTTTATTTTTTACTCTTTATCTATGGTCTTGTTGGGTTCACAGCTGAGTCAAGCTTCTAATATAGTGTATTACATTTATTCAGGAAAAATTAGCACATGGATAGACTTGGATTCAGAAGATGAAGCCCTTAGGATGGATTCTGAAACCGTTCTCAAACAAGAGATAGCTTGGGCCTCTTATCTCAGTTTACAGGTGTGCTTTGGTTTAATCAAATTGGAGTGAATTTGATTTTGTATTCTTGTCCTTCTTTGTCTTAATTCCTTAGTGCAATGAGTGGTTTTATACATATTTATTGGTTCAGTTTGAAATCACTGCTTGTTTTGGTTGAATTGTGAATGCTTGTTCTTTAATTTCCTTGGCAGAAAGCATTCGGGTTTTTTGTCTTACTTTTTTCAACTCTAATTAGATGTTATACTTCTGATTCTCAGTGTAATTAGAAAAACTAAAGTGAAATGATTTCAAGAGTTGTTTGATTAGGACCTTGATATTTGGAAATTGATTTTGGTTATTAGGGTACCAAACTATCAGAGAAACCTGTTGGAAAATGATAAGTTATGTGAATACATATTATTTCACGGGAAAATCCATGAGATTTCCCCAGCAAATCCCTATGGTATAATTAATAGGATCAAGGGAGTCAGCCACTGACATCTGACTCATATATTTCTGCTTCTCTTTGGTATTTTAACTTTGTAGCTAAGGCATATATGTTGATAATTCAAGTGTGAGTGATGAAGTTCCACATTGTATAGAAATGGACTAAACAAGGAATATATAAGTGAAAGGACTCAAGCCTTAAGGTTTTGGGTTGGATTGCCGCTTAGTCCATTATATGTTATTGTTGCTGACTTTGGCATCTCTCTTGTCCAAGTTAAAGTCCCAGAAGAATTACCTTGTGTATTGAAGTTGCTTCATGTTTGGGGACATTGACTATATTGCCACATTTTAGGCAAAATTTTACCTGATTGCCACTTTTGAAATTTTTTTTGCCAAAATGCCATGCCTGAATCCCGCTGGTCTGACAAGCGGGAATGGACTGGACACGTGTTAGCGTCTGAATGGTCAACCATTCTCGCTGGGCTGCCCAGCTAGAATGACAGAATGCTGACACGTGGCAAAAGCACAGGCATTCTCTGGATGTCTGTACTTTTGCCACGTGTCAGCATTCTGTCATTCTAGCTGGGCAGCCCAGCGAGAATGGTTGACCATTCAGACGCTGACACGTGTCCAGTCCATTCCCGTTTGTCAGACCAGCGGGATTCAGGCGTGACATTTTGGCAAATTTTTTTCAAAAGTGGCAATCAGGTAAAATTTTGCCTAAAATGTGGCAATATAGTCATTGTCCCTCATGTTTGTTACTAAACAGTATTACATGATATTATGTCATACTTTGACATGTAGTCACAAACAAATAGGAATTCTCTATTCGTTGTGTGCTTCATATAGTTTTTCTAAATTGTTTTTTTAAGAGCTGCAGGCTTGCTATCTTCCAGCTCCTAAGGGAACTTCCTGGGCTAATTATGCTAGATGTGTGAACCAAATCTTACAGGCTGGCGGCATAAATAACATGAAGGTGCCACTCTAAGTTCAAAATTTATGACTGATTCGTTGCCCTCCATGAATGTCAGTTCATCATTCTTATACTTCATTCTGTATCTGTAACTTTGCAATACAGTTGGTGCTTAGGTTTCCATTGGGGAAGACTGATGATGACTCTAGTGCAAGCTCCGGTACTTCGGTGAGTAAAAATGCTAAATCATGCTTTGAAGGTCTTGTTCTGAAGTATGTATAGCTGGGGTGGGCGTGGGTTCATATTGAGTATCTTTACTTCTTTCTTAAATCTCTCTAACTCTTGTATGCACGTGCATGTTTCTTCTCAGATGTGCACTTCTTGCCAATTTTCCTACTTATTTTTTATTCTTCATGATGAAACAACTGTCATCTTAATGAAATAACCCTTGATGTTGTAATGTCAACGTTCAAAGCTGCTGAATAGTGAGTTTTGATCTCATGATCAACAAGACATGGCACTAGAGATTCATTTGGTGTTCATCATTATTTTTTATATTTTAATTTTCATATAACAACAAAACTTAGCTCAGTATCAAATTATTGACGAGTAGACTTTCACGTCATGGAGATTTAAGCTTATAAAATTTATGATATCAGTTTAATTTATTTTCTGTCACCTTTCTAATCTTGATTCTCAGGTTGATTCTTGGGAGGCATGGAATTCATTTCGACTGCTGTGTGAGCATCATAGGCAATTGTGCGTTGCACTTGATAATTTGTGAGTACTTCAGAATACTTTTGATCCATTACACAATACCTTGATCTTACATTTTGTTCTTTGACTTATATTGTTGAACTATCTCTATAATTGCACCAATTCTTTATTAATTTCCTCAATCAAGTATACTTTCTTGTTAATAGGAGTATCCTTCCTTCAGACAACTCACTAGAACGTTGGTATGGGGAGCCTGTTATTGCCTATATAATACATACAGATGTAAGGACATATAATGTGTAGAAAATTAGAATTCAAACATGTTTCCGTTTTTATTTCCTATTAATTAGGATTGATTATGATTGATTAGGATTGATTATGATTGATTAGGATTAATTGTGATTGATTAGAATTGATTGTGATTAGGATTGTGATAGGATTGATTAGTCATCGCTTAGTCATTCTTAGCGATTCTTTCTTGTATAAATACTCACTCATGTAATTTATTCAATATCAATATACAAAAACTTCTTTTCAATATGGTATCAGAGCGGGTTCGTTCCTACCCTAATTCAAATCTGAAATAACCATCCAAACACTTCCATCACCGTCAAACACCTCCTAAACACCGCCTTGAATCTGTCCAACACAGAAACCTAGTTTACTGACCTCCGATCAAAAAAGTGAGGTGACCATTCGACTCAGAAGGATCCGACGAGTCGACCGCCGCTGGACCCATCGCCGTCAGCCGCTGCACGCGCCACCACGCGCCGCCTTCCAGACGTTTTTTTTCCGTCGCGACTTGCACAGACCTTCTCGCCGGCTTCTCCCCTTCCTGTTGCAGAGGTCAGATCAAAAGTTTACAAAACTTGATTTTTCATCAACGGTCAACCCTTCTCTTTTTATTCATGGCTTCCTCAAAACACTCTTTTTATTACCACGAGCAACCTCCTAAGGCCACTAGTCATGTGGTCCAGCAAGGTACAACTTTCCATGTTGATAGTCAAAATCATTGGATCCTTGATTCTGGAGCCTCTGATCATATGACAGGTAATCTTGGCTTGTTTTGTTCATACACTCCATATTCTGAACCTTCTCGGGTCAAGATCGCCGATGGCAGTTTTTCCCAGATTGCGGGACACGGAACCATTAAACTTTCTGAGCTGATTACTTTGACATCAGTTCTTTATGTTCCTTCTCTGACTTGTAATCTCATTTCTATTAGCAAGCTCACCTCTGAGTTGCATTGCTTTGCTAAATTCTTTCCACATGGTTGTGTTTTTCAGGAACAGGACTCGGAGAGGATGATTGGCAGTGCTAGAGAGGATGGTGGACTTTACTACTTTGAGGAGGATGTGACTCATGAAGCTGTTTTCGTAGAAAAAAACTCTATGTTTCCTTTTGATTCATGTAATGATGTTATGCTGTGGCATCGTAGGCTAGGCCATCCAAATTTTATTTATCTTCAGAAATTGTTGCCAAACTTATTTATTAATAAAAGTCCAAGTTTGTTTTCTTGTGATATTTGTCAACTTGCCAAGCATACTCGTGCTCATTATCCTTCTAAAGTTCACCATGACTCTTCCCCATTTTCCTTAATTCATAGCGACATATGGGGTCCAGCCCGTGTTAAAAATATTTCAGGTACTCGATGGTTCATTACCTTCATTGATGACCATTCTCGAGTTTGTTGGGTGTATCTTCTAAAGGATAAGTCCGATGCTGCATCCGTGTTTAAAAAATTTCATGCCATGGTTCAAACCCAATTCCAAGTTGCTATACAAATTCTTCGTACAGATAATGGCAAAGAGTATTTTAACTCTATTCTTGGAGAATATCTTTCCCAACATGGCATCCTTCACCAAAGCTCGTGTCCTGACACACCCCAACAAAACGGAGTTGCGGAAAGAAAAAACCGACATCTCCTTGAAGTTGCTCGGGCTCTTATGTTTACCACGAGTGTTCCTAAAATCTTTGGGGAGAGGCAGTTCTCACTGCCTCGTATCTGATAAATCGAATGCCATCTCGCATTCTGAAATTTCAGTCTCCTCTTTCTAGTCTTGTTCGTATCTTCCCTTCCTTCCGAGGTGTCTCCTCCTTACCTCTCAAGTTATTTGGTTGTGTTGTATTTGTCCATATTCCCTCCCATCAACGGTCTAAGCTTGATCCTAAGTCTCTCCAGTGTGTCTTTATTGGTTATTCTCCTACTCAACGTGGCTATAAGTGTTATTCACCCTCTCTTCGTAAGGTCTTTGTCTCTATGGATGTCACTTTTTCTGAGAATGACCCTTTCTTCCCCTCGACTTCTCTTCAGGGGGAGTCTATAGGAGTAGATGAAGATCAGTCATGGGAACCTATTAATGCCACAGTATTACCTCTACTTTTGGAAACAGGGGGAGCTACAGAATCCTCACCATCAGGAGCCTCCTCAAAATGGGGACAAGTTTATAGCAGGCGAAAGCCTCCTCAAAGTGTGAATAACCCAGAGCCTCTACACTGCCAGGATTCTGAACCATGTTCTAGTTCTAGCACCCCAATACTTGAGTGTCATGGTGAAAATGATCTACACTTGCCCATTGCTCTCAGAAAAGGTACTCGATCTTGTACTACTCATCCTATTTCTAATCATATTTCATATGGAAAGTTGTCCCCAGGGTTTCGTGCTTTCAATACTATGTTGGATAGTACAAAGATACCGAGAAATATACATGAGGCTCTCAATGATAAAAAATGGAGGGATGCTGTCTTTGAAGAAATGAATGCTTTAGAAAGAAATGGAACTTGGGAGATAGTGACCCTACCCAAAGAAAAAAAGGCAGTAGGATGCAAATGGGTGTTTACAATAAAATTCAATGCAGATAATAGCATCAACAGATACAAGGCAAGATTGGTTGCAAAGGGTTTCACTCAGACTCATGGGATAGATTATCATGAGACTTTTGCTCCGGTTGCTAAAGTCAATACCATCCGAGTTCCCTTATCTCTTGCTGCCAATCTAGATTGGCCTCTGCAACAGTTAGATGTGAAGAATGCATTCCTAAATGGTGACTTACATGAAGAAGTCTATATGGATCCTCCACCTGGTTTTGAAAAGGGAAATGAATCAGTGTGTAAACTAAAAAAGTCTCTATATGGATTGGAACAGTCTCCCAGAGAATGGTTCGACAAATTCACACAAGCAGTCAAAAGAAGAGGCTTCGTTCAAGCACAGACTGATCATACTCTCTTCCACAAACACTCTAAGGATGGTAAAATTGCTATTCTTATTGTATATGTAGATGATATAATTCTTACAGGTGATGATATTGAGGAATTGAACACCTTGAAGAAATTTCTAGCAGCTCAATTTGAACTCAAAGACCTTGGCACTCTCAAATATTTCCTTGGTATGGAAGTTGCTAGGAGCAAAACAGGCATCACTCTAACACAAAAGAAATATGTTCTAGATCTTTTGTTGGAAACAGGAATGTTAGGGTGTAAACCTGCTGAGACACCTGTGGAACCTAATACCAAGTTAGGTATTGAAGATGGGAATGAGGTGGATAAAGAACAATATCAGCGATTGGTTGGTAAACTAATCTACTTATCTCATACGCGTCCTGACATTGCCTTTGCGGTGAGTATGATTAGTCAATTCATGCACTCACCCAAGGAGAAGCATCTTAGTGCAGTCTATAGGGTGCTTAGATACCTCAAGAATACTCCAGGAAGAGGATTATTCTTTAAAAAGGGGTATAAAAGGACAATTGAAATCTACACTGATGCAGATTGGGCAGGCTCATCAGTAGACAGAAGATCTACCTCAGGCTATTGCACCTATGTGTGGGGAAATCTTGTTACTTGGAGAAGCAAAAAGCAAACAGTGGTTGCAAGAAGTAGTGCTGAAGCAGAATTTCGAGCTTTAGCTCATGGAGTTTGTGAAGGAATCTGGTTGAGAAGACTTCTTCAAGAGTTGAAGATTTCATATTCCCTACCAATAAAACTATATTGTGACAACAAGGCAGCTGTTAGCATTGCTCAAAATCCTGTGCATCATGATCGAACAAAGCACGTGGAAGTTGATCGTCACTTCATCAAAGAAAAATTAGATGATGGAAGTGTGCATTTGATATATGTTCCAACCAAAGAGCAAACGGCAGATGTCCTTACCAAGGGCTTACACCGTCCAGCATTCGAAGACTTGATTGGCAAGTTGGGAATGATCAATATTTACCTCCCAACTTGAGGGGGAGTGTAGAAAATTAGAATTCAAACATGTTTCCGTTTTTATTTCCTATTAATTAGGATTGATTATGATTGATTAGGATTGATTATGATTGATTAGGATTAATTGTGATTGATTAGAATTGATTGTGATTAGGATTGTGATAGGATTGATTAGTCATCGCTTAGTCATTCTTAGCGATTCTTTCTTGTATAAATACTCACTCATGTAATTTATTCAATATCAATATACAAAAACTTCTTTTCAATATAATGATTTAAATAGCAAGTATGGTGCTGCTGATCCTCGTCTAAGTCATAATGGTTTTGTTTGAAACTTTGCTAGTCCTTTTTGACTAATGATCGTGATAATAAGTACCTCCCAGAGCGTCATCAGAGGTTAATTACTCATTTCCTTGACCATTCTTGTCAGGTAAACATCCTAATTCTTTGAATCTTGTGACCTTGTAAATATTGAGTTAATATTAAGATTTGGATGACGAAATAAGGTGAGCCATGAATTATTTATAGTAATGTTATTCTCACAGAAAAAAAAAAAAAATTACATCCAACAAAACTTGTTCCTCACTACATTTTCCTTAAAGCTTGCGAGACTTCATGGGATACAGCCTCGGTGCAAAAATTACCGGATCATGAGGAATGAAATTTAGACTAAACCAGGTTTTTTACCTTCTAAAGGTACTGAGTTTTCTGAAACTTGTTTCTAGATCATTATATCTGAAAAGAAAATTCATACCCAAGCAATTGAAGAAGATCCTTATGATACTCGTTCTGCTGCAGGTACATTCCTATTCGTGTTTTATTGATTTTTCTTGTAAATTCAGATAATTCTTTAAGTAGTAATAATACACGAAAGACAATTACGAAAAATATGTGTGAAAGATTTACCTAAATATTTGTCCCAAAATATTTGAATTCATTGTTAATTTCGTGAACTCTTTTCATGACAATTAGCATTTCCCTTTCCTAGTTCTTCCCGCTTTTGTTTGGCATATAAGTAGTTCACAAGCACCATTTGTGGGTGTGCCCATGTGCCTGCTTGTATGTTCTACATTGTTGCCCTTGTTCCTTGGTTAGGAATCTTCTGTTCTTAATGTGTTTTTTTGCACTTAAGATTCTCAAAGACATTCTTTACGGCCTTATCTGGACTATGTTAGTCACCTATACCGAGGATTGCATTTTCTCTCTGAGCAAGAACGTCTCGAGGTATCTATCTTTCCATGTGTCAAATAGAAAGCCATGGCATTATCTACTGTTATCTTCATCTTGACGCTTTCTGTGTTTTATGCCAGTTTGGTTCCAGGGATGTTTTACGACCACCCTTACAAGTAAGTATTCTTTGTCCGACCAGCTGTACTTAGTTTTTGTAGATTTTAAGAGAGGAAAAATCTGAGTTTCCATCATATTCATAATCGATGAAATTGCTTGAATTTGTTGTAAAATAAGCATGGCAACAGGTCTGCCACTGAATCTCCTTAATCCTGTAACAAATAAATCCCTTAAATCTAGGGGGAAACAGGATAGAACTACACCAGGAATGTTTTAGGAAACAAGCCTGTTCAGGGATTAGCTTCTCAGATTTGCTTGTTATGTTATTTTCAGTTTTTAAATAAATTGGGGAAGCTAATCCTAAGATTTTATTGTCTTATGTTTTTATACATAAGAATAAGAATGTATATATTTATTTTTTTGTTTAACGTTAGAATGATATTATTGCGGCTGTTTTAATGTACAAGAAAAAACTTATTTTGGATACTGATGCAAGCAAAGGTAATAATTTTAACGTACACCAAACTGGTATGTATTTTTATTTTTATTTTATTGCACTATGTTGACGCATGTCCTACGCATATTTTAGATTAATTATTTGAAATTTTACTATTCTTCTGCAGCCTATTAAGAATAATAGAGAGGCTCTGACGTATCAGAATTTTGAGAAAGACAAAGCGAAACACAAAGCGGTATGGTAATATGTGTGAGGCATTCTCAATTTCACGTATACATTGATTTATAATCGTCCATCTTTGCCCTTATGTCTTCCATGGCTTGCACGCTAAATCTGATTAATGAAACTGTCATAGACTCGGAGTAAAAAGGAAAATTTGGAAAGGAAACTTGTATTAATCATATGGGTAGTACACCGTTGTGTTCAAGGAAATTACAAGAACTGGGAAGGAAAATTACGGAACAAACAAATGCTACAAAATTAGGAATTGAAAAAAAAAAAAAAAAAAAAGTGACTGACATCCAGAACAAATTGAGAGGTTCTAGTTCTCTCCCAAGAGCCTAAGACTTCGTTTGAGAGTTTGGAGGGAAAGAGAAGGAAAGAAATTCAAAGGACAGGAAGGGGAAGGAAGTGAAGGGAAACAAAGATATTTCATTTTCTTGTTTGGGAGTTAAAACCCCCCCAAATTAAGGAAACTTTAATTTTAAGAACAAGAAGGGTTTTGGAAGATTTTGTGAAAATCCCCAAATTCTTACCCTCACTTTTTTAAACTCACAAACAAGGGAAGAGATTAATAAAATCCTTCCTTTCTTTTCCCTCTTAAAACTAACTCCCAAACAAACCCTAAGAGTCTCAACTTTCCAAGATCCTTCCAAATGATTTCCCCTGCTATTAGTAACTATAGAAAGTATGAATGATGGAACCAGTTTTTCCATTAAAAACTAAAAGAAAAAAAAAACGTACAATAAATAGACACCAGAAATATTCCAGTGCAACAAATCCCTATAATCAGGGAAAGAGATAAAACTAGAAAACTGAATCCTATTTTAACTAAACAGGAAAAATATCAGAAACAAACTAATCCTAGGAATTTAAATAACAAATAACGAAACAAACTCCTAAGATTAAGGAGGAAAAATAAAACATTCTAGATGCTGAAAACTAGGGATTGCAACACTCCCCCTCAAGCTGGGTGGTAGATGTCCAGCATTCCCAGCTTGGAAATTAGTCCTTCAAATTTAATTCTTGATAAAGACTTGGTTAAGATATCAGCAATCTGGGACCCTGTGGAAATGTGACTTAGATCAATAATATTTGCATCAATTTTTTCCTTGATGAAATTTCTATCAAGTTCAACATGCTTGGTACGGTCATGATGGATTGGATTATTGACAATTCCAATGGTGGCCATGTTATCACAGAAAATCTTCATAGGATCCTTGTATTCGAGGTGTAGCTCCTTTAGGACTCTTAAAATCCACATTCCCTCACAAGTGCTTAAGGACAATGCCCTGTATTCGGCTTCAGCACTGCTTCTGGCTACCACAGACTGTTTTTTACTCCTCCAAGTGACCAAATTTCCCCACACATATGAGCAATAGCCTGTGGTTGATCTTCGATCGATAATGGATCCTGCCCAATCAGCATCCGTGTAAATCACAATATCACGGCTGGAATTTTTCTTGAAGAACAATCCTTTACCAGGAGTCATCTTTAAGTATCGTAGGATTCTGTAGACGGCTTCCAAGTGCTCTTCATTTGGGCTGTTCATAAATTGACTGACCACACTCACAGGGAAACTAATATCAGGCCTAGTGTGGGCTAAATAAATGAGTTTTCCAACTAGTCTTTGATATCTCTCAGTGTCTACCGAAGCACATTCTTGTTTGAGTCCTATCTTGTAGTTCGCCTCCATTGGTGTATCAGAAGGTTTACATCCCAACATCCCTGTTTCATTCAGCAGATCAAGAGTATATTTTCTTTGAGAAACTGAAATTCCTTCCTTAGTTCTTGCCACTTCCATTCCAAGAAAATATCGTAATTTTCCAAGGTCCTTGACCTCAAATTTGTGAGCTAACGTCTCCTTTAATTGCTTTATCTCATCCTCCCAATTACCAGTAATCACAATATCATCAACATAGACAATTAATATTGTAATTTTCTGATGAGGTGCAGTTTTAACAAACATAGTATGATCAGTTTGACATTGGGAGTACCCTTGATTTTTGACAACTGCAGTAAACTTATCAAACCAAGCCCTTGGAGATTGCTTCAAACCATAAAGGGATTTTAATAATCTACATACCTTTCGAGATCCTTGACCATCTTCCACTCCTTGGGGAATTTCCATGTAAACCTCTTCTTCTAAGTCACCATTTAAGAATGCATTCTTCACATCCATTTGCCAAAGGGGCCAATCTAGGCAAGCAGCAATGGACAAAAGAATTTTAATTGAATTAAATTTTGCTACTGGAGCAAAGGTTTCCTGGTAATCAATGCCCTGTGTCTGAGTGAATCCTTTGGCCACAAGTCTTGCTTTATGGCGATTAATACTCCCATCTTCATTATATTTGATGGTAAAAATCCACTTACAGCCAACCACTGATTTTCCTTGTGGTAAGGTAACTATCTCCCAAGTGCCATTTTTTTTGAGTGCATGCAATTCATCCTGGATAGCAGAACACTATCAGTAGTCTTAGATGCCTCAAAGTAGGATGTAGGAATGGTTTCCTTGTCAATGTTCTTGACTAGATGCTGCATCCTGGAGGAAAGATTAGCATAGGATATAAAATTACAGATGGAATGACTTGTACATGTCCTTACCCCCTTACGAAGTGCAATTGGCATGTGCAGAGCATCATCAGAACTTGGCAGCAAGGATTCAGTTTGGTCAAGTGCAGGACTAATGGTTTCTTCAGTTGGACCAGGAGCCAAGGTAATCTGTTTGTCAACATGTTCAAGCATCTCAGAAGCTGTTCTGTATTTGGGCCGTCGCGTGTAGACTTGCAGGGGCTGCTGTTCAGGCGGTTTCTGGAGCGGGCCGGAAGAGGATAAGCCATTAGATGAAGTGTCATTTTCCTGAGATTCACCTAAGACCGGTGTAGGGGCTGTTGAAGCAGAGTTTTCTGGAGTATTAGTCACAAACAACCATTCCTTGGAATTAGGGATCTCCCCCTGAATGGCGGTTTGGGAAAAATAAGGCTGATGTTCAAAAAAGGTGACATCTTTAGTAATGTAGAATCGATGTGTGGCTGGACTGAAGCATTTATACCCCTTCTGAGTAGGGGAATAGCCAAGAAAGATGCCCTTAAGAGCCCGAGGATCCAATTTACCACCTTGAGAGTTATGAATGAACACGGTGCAACCAAAAATTTTTAGTGGGAGATTTGGGGTTAAGGTCAATGAAGGGAATGCAGTGAGGAGTGTTTGGTAAGGTGAGGAGAAGTGTAATACCCGAGATGGCATGCGGTTGATAAGGTAAGTGGCTGTAAGAATAGCTTCCCCCCAATAATTTTTGGATGTATTTGAGGCAAAGAGTAGGCTACGAGCAACTTCAAGTAAATGGCGATTTTTTCTCTCAGATACACCGTTTTGTTGTGGGGTATTGACACAAGAGCTCTGGTGGATGATGCCATGGTCTTTTAGGTAAGCTGAAAGGTCCAAGTTAAAATAATCACGTGCATTGTCAGATCTAAGGGTAAGGATTTGGGTTTGAAATTGGGCAAGGATCATTTTGTGAAAGACTTTAAAGGTGGATGTGACTTCAGATTTATTGGCTAATAGGTACACCCATGTCATTCGAGTATGATCATCAATAAATGTGACAAACCAACGAGCACCCGTAAGGCTTTTAACAGTTGCAGGTCCCCACACATCACTGTGGATAATGGCAAATGGTTTAGAAGGAACATGCATTTGTAAGGGATAATGAGACCGAGTTTGTTTTGCAAGTTGACATATATCACATGAAGGAAAATTCGAATTCTCATTAAATAAAGAAGGGTACATCTTTTTCATATATTGAAAGTTTGGATGCCCTAATCTAAAATGCCATAAAAGAGCCTTATTCAAATTGCTAGTTGCTGCAAATGTGCTGTCTTGAGTCTTCATAACCGCGGCTATGTAAAGTTGATATAAACCATTAGAGACCCTAGCACTGCCAATCGTCCTCCCCGATGCCAAATCCTGAAAAATACAATCAACGTGGGTAAATTTGACTGTGCACTTTAAATCCTTGGTCAATTTGGTAATAGAAATTAAATTGCAGGTAAGAGATGGAACGTAGAGAACTCCAGTTAAAGATATGGTTGACGATAGGTGAACAACACCAATTCCGTGAACCTTGGCTAAGCCTCCATTTGCTGTTTTTACTGATTTTGCCTCGAAAATGGGAAAGTATTCAGAAAGAAGAGAGGAATTACCAGTCATATGATCTGTAGCCCCAGAATCTACCATCCAGGAATCACATTTATCAAGATCGGATTGGAGAGCTGTATGGAATGTACCTGATTGATGACTATCAGATGAGGGATTAGATTTGTCCTTATTGCAATCTTGCAGCATGCGTTGTATGGCTATCACTTGTTCCCTTGTAAATGTATGGCCTTCGGATTTTGCTTGCGGAACATCTTCTACAACTGCAGCAACATGATTAAAGTCTCTGTTTTGTCTTGGCTTCCAATCAGCTGGCTTGCCATGGATTTTCCAGCATGTATCCCGAATATGCCCAGTTCTGTTGCAATGGTCACACCAGAGCTTACCATTTCGCCTAGGTCTGGAGTCTGCATTGTTGGGTCTAGAGACAAAGGCTGCTGCTTCCAAAGGTGCATCAACTTTTGGGATGCTATTGGTCAAAACTTTGCGGCTTTCTTCCCACTTTAATTCAGAAAAAACTTCTCGCAAGGATGGCAGAGGGCGAGTGGCCATGATGCGGCTGCGAGCTCCATCATAGATTGGATTGAGTCCCAAAAGAAGGTTGTAGGTGCGGTCTTGTTCAACAATTTTCTTATACTGAAGAGTATCGGCTGGAGTAGTCCATTCATGTTGATCATAAAGATCCAATTGTTGCCAGAATTTTAGGAGTGAATTATAATAGCTGGTGACATCCTTGTCCTCCTGTTTGAGATCACGAAGAATCCCCTTGATGTGAAACAAGGCAGCTGTGTTATCTTCCTTAGAGAAGGCTTCCTTCACGCCATCCCAAATTTCCTTGGCTGTGGAGCACAACATGTATGTTTCAGCTATTTCAGGCACCATGGAATTCAGCAACCAAGACATCACAAGGTTATTTTCAATGGACCACTTCTTGTATTGTGGATGACTGGTTTCCAGAGGAGCAGCATCACCCGTACCGGTGAGATGATCTCCCTTGCCACGGCCTCCAATGAACATACGAACGCTGCGTGACCACAACAAATAATTGTCTCCATTGAATCGATGACCAGTGATGACTAATGCTGGACTATCGTTGGTAATGACAGCTGCTGAGTTGTTGTTGGTTTGGTTTGATGCTGAAACATTGAGTGGGGTTGTTGTTGGAGTGGTATTTGTACCGGTGGTATTGGAAGAAGTAGTTTGGTAGGCTCTCATGGTGCCAAAGAGTGGCACATTGGTAGCCATGGGTGGATCAGTCCCTTAAAAATCAAGCTCTGATACCATATAGAAAGTTTGAATGATGGAACCAGTTTTTCCATTAAAAACTAAAAGAAAAAAAAAACGTACAATAAATAGACACCAGAAATATTCCAGTGCAACAAATCCCTATAATCAGGGAAAGAGATAAAACTAGAAAACTGAATCCTATTTTAACTAAACAGGAAAAATATCAGAAACAAACTAATCCTAGGAATTTAAATAACAAATAACGAAACAAACTCCTAAGATTAAGGAGGAAAAATAAAACATTCTAGATGCTGAAAACTAGGGATTGCAACAGTAACCAGTCCCGTAGGTGTGACTCTGACCATCTGATTTCCTTCTAATTAACTGCTGCTGACTCAGCATTGGTAATTGGAAGCTGTAATAACCCTCCCAAATCTATTACGTGCCACATCCATGTCAGACTCAGCTGATTTATGTGAATACTACATAGGTCAACTGGGGGAGACCTTTTGTTGATCAATTGAACTGCTTGGAGTTCTTAATTAACATTGAAGTCTAGTAAATATAGCAGTTCTGCATAACTTGACTTTTTTTGTGTGCTTAATAAACATGGCTTAGGTTTCTTCTGTCTAAGCTTATAATCTAATCAGTAGCTTTCTTTATACTAGTACAAAAGAGCAATTTGTCAAGCCTTGCTGGACAGGGTTCCTGATGAAAAGGCATTAGAGACTGTCACGGTAAGATTTGTTTCTTTTTTTTGTGCTTCACGCATCTCATTTTTTTCTTTTTTCTTTTTCTAAAAGCACATGATAAACATGCACCACTCTTGTTTCTGTGTTGCATACCTAGAGGTTACTTTGTTGTTCCCGTGGCTAGGTATTGGTGGTAGTTGGTGCAGGGCGTGGGGCTCTTGTGAAGGCATCAGTACAGGTGTTATCTTGTACCGGAATGTGGCAAATGTGGATTTGGGTAATATCCTATTCTTTGGAGTGACTTTATGATCTTGATATGCAGGCAGCTAAAGAAACTGGGCGAGTGCTAAAAGTTTATGCCATGGAAAAGAATCCACATGCAATGGTTGCACTTGAAGTTAGTTGTAGATCTTGTTCTTACATATTATGTTTACGGTGATTCCTGAATTTATATACCAGTATAATGAATCTATTGCATATTACAGAAAGTAGCTGAATTCAATTTCTTTTTATTTTTATTTTAGAAAGACTTGGCTTAATATTCAATTTGTTTAAAGTTGAAGTAACTTGTAGCTGCCAACTTCTATACGATATTATTTCTTCAGCATTAGTTCTAGCTGAACATATTTTAATTGCTTGAATGTGTGCTAGTGCCACAAATTCTTTGTGATGCATTTCTATTTTGTTTTAATACTTGTTTTTATTAGCATATATGCGTCTGTATTTATATTGCATGCTTGCAAGTCGGGCATTATTGTTATGAGTTATTATTCTAGAAGCTTAAGTCCAAAAGAAAGTTCAAATTCTTTTTAGAGTTTGATCATTTTTAACATTTACGGTGGAAGTGTTTTGTGATAGGATTGTCCATTGTTGAATGGAGAGGAGGAGATTGAATGAATTCTATGTGTTTTGTTACATTACGGAGTGGTGATTGTATAACAAAAAAAGTTCAATAAACCTAGATGCTCCCTTTACCTTCCTATAATGCGCATAGATGCTCCAGCGAAAATAAAAATTTGTTACCAAGAGGTGCACACAAAGAGAGAAAGAGATCGGCTGAAACTATAGGATGGTGGGTCTTGTTTATAACCATTCTCCCAATGAATGAATGAATAAATTTTTCCCCCATGTTTATTAGAAAATGGGGGTCTTGTTTTACTGTCCGAAGACCCACCATCCTATAATCTTATGGAAGCTCTCTTCGGCTCTGTCGCGACCAACCGAAGATCCCCCAAAGGAAAGAGTCAATCAACAAGTCCAAGCTGCGATGCCTCAGCTCCATCAACAAAAAGTTTCCTTCTTGACCCTAGAAAATCACAGAACATTTCTATAGTTTTGAAATCTCTTGCAGTCTCACAAGGTGAAATTCTTGATGCACTCATTGATGGTAAAGGCCTCAATGCAGATACCCTTGAGAAGCTATCTAGAGTTTCACCAACAGAAGAAGAGCAATCTCTTATCCTTGAATACAAAGGAAACCCGGCAAGCGTTGCTGCAGCTGAATCTTTCTTATATCACATCCTCAAAGCTGTTCCTTTAGCCTTTAAGCGCTTAAATGCCATGCTATTCAGGTTTAACTATGACTCCGAGATTCTAGAAATCAAGGAATCTCTGCAGACCCTTGAACTGGGGTGTAAGGAGCTTAAAAGCCAGGGACTCTTTGTGAAGCTTCTTGAAGCAGTGCTTAAGGCAGGAAATCGAATGAATGCAGGAACTACTAGAGGTAATGCTCAAGCTTTCAACTTGGCTTCTCTAAGGAAGCTGTCTGATGTGAAGAGCACCAATGGAAAAACAACTTTACTTCACTTTGTGGTTGAAGAAGTAGTCCGCTCTGAAGGAAAATGTGTTGTTCTTAACCGCAATAGCAGCCTGAGCCGTAGTAGCAGCAGAAGCAGCAACAGCAGTGGAAACCATGAGAACAGTGCCACCTCAAATGAACTAAGAGAAAGGGAATATACAACTCTAGGATTACCCCTTGTTGGAGGGATCAGTTCTGAGTTCTCCAATGTTAAGAAAGCAGCACATATAGATTATAACAGTTTAGTTGGTTCTATCTCAGTCCTCTTAACCCGGCTAGGTGAAATTCAAGAGCTTGTTTCGCGGTGTGGAAATGGTGGAGAAGGATCTTTTGTAAAAGAAATGGACCAGTTTCTCAGAAATGCTGAGGAAGAATTGAAATTAGTGAGGGAAAAACAAACATTGGTATTGCAGCTTATCAATAGAACAACACAATATTATCAAGGAGGAGCTTCAAAAGGCACTGCAGAACAAAATCTTTTTAAATGACAAAATCTTTTTAAAAAGTGTTTTGTTACATTACGGAGTGGTGATTGTATAACAAAAAAGGTTCAATAAACCTAGATGCTCCCTTTACCTTCCTATAATGCGCATAGATGCTCCCGCGAAAATAAAAATTTGTTACCAAGAGGTGCACAAAGAGAGAAAGAGATCGGCTGAAACTATAGGGTGGTGGGTCTTGTTTATAACCATTTAAAACAAATAAAAATTCATTCATTCATTCATTCATTGGGGGAATCAGTAAAACAAGACTTGAGTGGGAATTAGATTATAGGATGGTGGGTCTTTGGACGGATTGGAGGAAAGCTATTAGTACTATGGAGGGGTAGACCAGTTTTTCTTCTTATGTTCCAAACGGTCCCTATTTACTCCTTTTCCCAATATTTTCCTTCTTTTCTTTATTTATTTGTTTAATTATTTTCCTCTTTATTTTATTTTTCCCTTTTATTTACCTTCTATCTTTGTTTTCACTTTATTTTTATTCTTTTTTGTATATATCTTTTTAATTTTTATTTATTTTAATTATATTCTTATTTATTTATGTATTTATTTTCCTCCTTTCTTTTCTTTCAATCTTTTCTTTCTTTTCATTTGGACTCATCGCCCACTGATCCCAACTAGTTTAGGTTAAAGGTGTCATTGATGTTGATGTTACATTGTACTTTACATTACTGAAACAAAGTATTACATTGTTGGCTTGCACTGTTTGAACACAATTTTACATATTTCCAACACTCTCCCTTAAGGTGAAGCATGTAGGTTATATGCACCAAGCTTATTATTACATATATAACCTATCTGATGACTCCTGAAACACTTAGTGAAGACATTTAAATGATAATTTTCATTGATGAAGTGACTAGTGAGTGAATGTATCTCTTGATAAGATCTTCTCTCTAATGAAATTACAATCTATTACAATGTGCTTGGTCCTCTCATGAAATATTAGGTTAAAGGCAATCTGTAGTGCACCTTGATTATCACAAAGAGCATTGGTTGCACAACTTTTCCAAATTTTGAGTTCTTTTAATTGTTTGATCCAAATGAGTTAGCAAGTGGCTGTGTGCCATGGCCCAATATTTTGCTTTAGCATTTGTTCTTGCCATCACATTTTGTTTCTTACTTTTTTGAGAAATCACATTGTCCCCAAATACACAATATGTAGAGGGCATATCTTTTGATTAGGTCAACCTTCCAAACCAACATCTGAGTATTCAACAACCCGAGCATGACCTGTATCTTAATAAAAAGACTTTTCTTGGAGCTACTTTAATAAATTTGAGGATACGAAATACTACATCCTAATGTCATGCACAAGGAGAATTTAAGAATTGACTTACCACACTGAATACAAATGAGATGTCTAGATGAGTGACTGTAAAGTAATTCAATTTCCCAACTAATCGCTTGTATTTCTCTTGATTTAAGAATCACTTCCCCTAATTTGGTAGAAACTTGATATTTGGACCATAGGAGTGTCAATTGTCTAAGCATTCAACATAGTTGTTTCCTCAAAGATGCCCATAGCATATTTCCTTTATGAAATTACTATACCTTTTCTTACCAAGAAATATCAAAGTTTGCTAAGATCTTTGGTGTGAAAATGATGACCAAGATATTGTTTCATTTGAATGATGCCATGGTGATAATTGCCAGTGATAGCAATGTCAATAACATATACAATCAAATAAATTTTTACTTGAGATGAATGACAATAAAAATAGAGTGGTCATCTTCACTTATCATATCAAATTGTTAAACAACTGTGCTAAAATGACCAGACCAAGCTCGAGAAGATTGCTTAAGACCATACAAGGATTTGTGAAGACGACAAAAATGCCAACTGACTATGTAACAAATTTGGGAGGTTGCTCCATATAAAATTCATCGCTTGAACAGTTATCCAAATTTCACGACCAATCTTGTAGAATAGATAGGTTCGGTCTATTTGGGATCTATCAATAGAGGTTAGCATCCTAATTGTTGTAGGATGGATAGTTGGGTGGTGGCGCAGAAACATATTACCCATTTAATTTGTGTTAGGTGATTTGGATGGAAGGGTTCGGGTCAATTGTTTGAAGAGATGGAGCCATGGAAGGTGAGTTTGAGTATGGATTCTGGGTGAGTGGCTCTTCGGGTCTGAGTGATAGGTTGTTTGGGGTTTTCTAGTGTGGTGGATGCATCAGCCATGAAGTGGTACCGAGTTTTCTTCTAAAAAGGAGAACCAGCTCTTGATACCATATAGTTAGAGTATGAGAATATAATTCTATTTCTTAGTTTTATCCCGGCATCCAATGTACAATATATAACCAAACAGAATGCTAAAAAAGGAAAAAAAAATACTGGACGATCCCTAGAATTGTCCCGGAAATCCCACTAAATGAGTAATAGAAACTAAAAGGGATAGTTGACAACAATCTATATAATTATGAGACGTTGTGTATCTCATAATTACCGATTGCTTTCCAACATTGTTGTTATTGACTGTCCATAATTTTATGAGCACACTGTTGGAACTTCTCTTACAATTTTCTTAGCTGTTGTTCTTGAGAGTGGGGGGTTCAAGTTATTTTCTTTTCATGTTCTTGCATTTTTTAAGGCCCTCTAATAAATAACGAGAGAAGTGCAAGAAAGTGAAAGAAAACAGAGAGAGAAGAAACTGTTGCACTGAAAAATCTGATTCTGATTTGATTGCTGAAATATTGTACATAGCTAGCTTATATCATGGGAGATGGAATAATTTCTTGTTAACTAACTAGTGCGAATGAGAATGTATCCTCTCATTTTAAAATTTTACATAATTTGGTCATGTGAAAATTTTGTCTATCTCTCTCAATAAATTTTAATTAGACCCCACTTATTTAATCTCAGAGAGAGATAGACATAAATATTTCACATGAGAGAGCCTGAGCTGATTAAGTAGAGTCATGTGAACTTTTAACATGGTAGGTTCCACTCCTAATCTGACTAAGTAGAGTCTGACCTGTCTTTGACAGCGAACTAACAGTAAGGTAACAATATGACCGAAGATTAACAGAATACAAGCATATGGAAATACTAAACTAACACAGTCGGTGAACCTATACTCTAACACCCGCTCATGTCTTTAATGCTATTTCAGTGCATATATAAGTTGATTTGCTTTACTCCCCCAGTTCCCATTGTTCTAGAAAAGTTTGTTTATGACATTATTACCTGTAGTTTTTGGAACAAGGGAATCTTTTGAATAATCATAGGCACAACATTTTATTTGTTGGAACAGAAATTAGTGGCATCAGACGACTACAAGAATATTGTTACGATAGTCAGAAATGACTTACAACAGTTGATTCCCCCTCTACTTGCTGACATATTGGTATATTTGTACTATCATACATAGTCACTTGCTTAACTTTTATTATTTATACTGTAGTGTCTGATTGCAGTTGTCTTGAATTTAGGTTAGTGATTTGCTTGGTTCTTTTGGTGACAATGAGCTGTCTCCTGAATGCCTTGATGGAATTCAGAGGTTTCTAAAGGAAGATGGAATTTCCATACCGTCTTCGTATGTAGATTTCTTTCACTCCATCTGTTATTACTTTATCTTCGTAAAAGGGTTTGATTAGTGTTTTTTTAATGTACACAAATATTTCTTTCACTCCATTATAATTACTTTATCTTGCTGAGAAAAAGGGTACTGGATGAACCATTTTAAATAATATTGAAGACAGTATCTTGGGCTTTGTTGTACAAGACTGCACTGACATTATTTTTTGAAGTTTAGAAATCGGCAGCAAATGTTGCCTTCATTAACTTTGGATATACGGCTTCCATGTAGTTTCACTTTTGTTTGTTGCCAAAATTGAGTGTCATGTGACTCACTAGAAGTCGATCAATTTATTATTGGTGATCAAACAGCCTAACAATAATGGTTAATGAATTTATATATATTAACTTTTGATGTCTTGTTTTTTGGTTTAGTTATTGTATATTTGTATTAGTGTTTATTACCACTTTCAGGTATACAAGTTTCCTCCAACCAGTGACAGCTTCCAATTTATATAAGAATGTATATCTCTTGTATTCCCCTATCAAATTAACCTATATAAATTTTGTACTTCATTTAATTGCTTGAGGCAATATTTCAGATTAAGGAAGATAAAGATATTTTACGCTTTGAAACTGCTTATGTTGTGAAAATACACAATGTAGCTCGGCTTGCACCATCTCAACCCGTTAGTAGCTTCTCATTCAGTTTACTTATCTTGATTTTCCTTCAACCTATCTACTGCTCCAATCTTTATGATGTTTGAGCTTCATGCATCACTTAATAATTTTGTTTCAATGATAAAAAAATTTTGAGAATTCATTTTTCTGCCTCAGAAAGTTGAGATTAAGTGGCTTCTGCTGATTTTGTTTCGTTTTGATTTGACTTGTTTAGGTTTTTACCTTCACACATCCTAAGAAAGAAAACAACTACCGCCATAAGAAGTTGCATTTTATGATACCTGAGTCCGCTATGGTACATGGTATGCATGGTCTTTCTACGCTTGCATGGTCTTCATGAAAGTGATTTATCCATAAAATATTTGATTTTATTGAAAAGAAGTTTTTGTATATTGATATTGAATAAATTACATGAGTGAGTATTTATACAAGAAAGAATCGCTAAGAATGACTAAGCGATGACTAATCAATCCTATCACAATCCTAATCACAATCAATTCTAATCAATCACAATTAATCCTAATCAATCATAATCAATCCTAATTAATAGGAAATAAAAACGGAAACATGTTTGAATTCTAATTTTCTACACTCCCCCTCAAGTTGGGAGGTAAATATTGATCATTCCCAACTTGCCAATCAAGTCTTCGAATGCTGGACGGTGTAGGCCCTTGGTAAGGACATCTGCCGTTTGCTCTTTGGTTGGAACATATATCAAATGCACACTTCCATCATCTAATTTTTCTTTGATGAAGTGACGATCAACTTCCACGTGCTTTGTTCGATCATGATGCACAGGATTTTGAGCAATGCTAACAGCTGCCTTGTTGTCACAATATAGTTTTATTGGTAGGGAATATGAAATCTTCAACTCTTGAAGAAGTCTTCTCAACCAGATTCCTTCACAAACTCCATGAGCTAAAGCTCGAAATTCTGCTTCAGCACTACTTCTTGCAACCACTGTTTGCTTTTTGCTTCTCCAAGTAACAAGATTTCCCCACACATAGGTGCAATAGCCTGAGGTAGATCTTCTGTCTACTGATGAGCCTGCCCAATCTGCATCAGTGTAGATTTCAATTGTCCTTTTATACCCCTTTTTAAAGAATAATCCTCTTCCTGGAGTATTCTTGAGGTATCTAAGCACCCTATAGACTGCACTAAGATGCTTCTCCTTAGGTGAGTGCATGAATTGACTAATCATACTCACCGCAAAGGCAATGTCAGGACGCGTATGAGATAAGTAGATTAGTTTACCAACCAATCGCTGATATTGTTCTTTATCCACCTCATTCCCATCTTCAATACCTAACTTGGTATTAGGTTCCACAGGTGTCTCAGCAGGTTTACACCCTAACATTCTTGTTTCCAACAAAAGATCTAGAACATATTTCTTTTGTGTTAGAGTGATGCCTGTTTTGCTCCTAGCAACTTCCATACCAAGGAAATATTTGAGAGTGCCAAGGTCTTTGAGTTCAAATTGAGCTGCTAGAAATTTCTTCAAGGTGTTCAGTTCCTCAATATCATCACCTGTAAGAATTATATCATCTACATATACAATAAGAATAGCAATTTTACCATCCTTAGAGTGTTTGTGGAAGAGAGTATGATCAGTCTGTGCTTGAATGAAGCCTCTTCTTTTGACTGCTTGTGTGAATTTGTCGAACCATTCTCTGGGAGACTGTTTCAATCCATATAGAGACTTTTTTAGTTTACACACTGATCCATTTCCCTTTTCAAAACCAGGTGGAGGATCCATATAGACTTCTTCATGTAAGTCACCATTTAGGAATGCATTCTTCACATCTAACTGTTGCAGAGGCCAATCTAGATTGGCAGCAAGAGATAAGAGAACTCGGATGGTATTGACTTTAGCAACCGGAGCAAAAGTCTCATGATAATCTATCCCATGAGTCTGAGTGAAACCCTTTGCAACCAATCTTGCCTTGTATCTGTTGATGCTATTATCTGCATTGAATTTTATTGTAAACACCCATTTGCATCCTACTGCCTTTTTTCCTTTGGGTAGGGTCACTATCTCCCAAGTTCCATTTCTTTCTAAAGCATTCATTTCTTCAAAGACAGCATCCCTCCATTTTTTATCATTGAGAGCCTCATGTATATTTCTCGGTATCTTTGTACTATCCAACATAGTATTGAAAGCACGAAACCCTGGGGACAACTTTCCATATGAAATATGATTAGAAATAGGATGAGTAGTACAAGATCGAGTACCTTTTCTGAGAGCAATGGGCAAGTGTAGATCATTTTCACCATGACACTCAAGTATTGGGGTGCTGGAACTAGAACATGGTTCAGAATCCTGGCAGTGTAGAGGCTCTGGGTTATTCACACTTTGAGGAGGCTTTCGCCTGCTATAAACTTGTCCCCATTTTGAGGAGGCTCCTGATGGTGAGGATTCTGTAGCTCCCCCTGTTTCCAAAAGTAGAGGTAATACTGTGGCATTAATAGGTTCCCATGACTGATCTTCATCTACTCCTATAGACTCCCCCTGAAGAGAAGTCGAGGGGAAGAAAGGGTCATTCTCAGAAAAAGTGACATCCATAGAGACAAAGACCTTACGAAGAGAGGGTGAATAACACTTATAGCCACGTTGAGTAGGAGAATAACCAATAAAGACACACTGGAGAGACTTAGGATCAAGCTTAGACCGTTGATGGGAGGGAATATGGACAAATACAACACAACCAAATAACTTGAGAGGTAAGAGGAGACACCTCGGAAGGAAGGGAAGATACGAACAAGACTAGAAAGAGGAGACTGAAATTTCAGAATGCGAGATGGCATTCGATTTATCAGATACAAGGCAGTGAGAACTGCCTCTCCCCAAAGATATTTAGGAACACTCGTGGTAAACATAAGAGCCCGAGCAACTTCAAGGAGATGTCGGTTTTTTCTTTCCGCAACTCCGTTTTGTTGGGGTGTGTCAGGACACGAGCTTTGGTGAAGGATGCCATGTTGGGAAAGATATTCTCCAAGAATAGAGTTAAAATACTCTTTGCCATTATCTGTACGAAGAATTTGTATAGCAACTTGGAATTGGGTTTGAACCATGGCATGAAATTTTTTAAACACGGATGCAGCATCGGACTTATCCTTTAGAAGATACACCCAACAAACTCGAGAATGGTCATCAATGAAGGTAATGAACCATCGAGTACCTGAAATATTTTTAACACGGGCTGGACCCCATATGTCGCTATGAATTAAGGAAAATGGGGAAGAGTCATGGTGAACTTTAGAAGGATAATGAGCACGAGTATGCTTGGCAAGTTGACAAATATCACAAGAAAACAAACTTGGACTTTTATTAATAAATAAGTTTGGCAACAACTTCTGAAGATAAATAAAATTTGGATGGCCTAGCCTACGATGCCACAGCATAACATCATTACATGAATCAAAAGGAAACATAGAGTTTTTTTCTACGAAAACAGCTTCATGAGTCACATCCTCCTCAAAGTAGTAAAGTCCACCATCCTCTCTAGCACTGCCAATCATCCTCTCCGAGTCCTGTTCCTGAAAAACACAACCATGTGGAAAGAATTTAGCAAAGCAATGCAACTCAGAGGTGAGCTTGCTAATGGAAATGAGATTACAAGTCAGAGAAGGAACATAAAGAACTGATGTCAAAGTAATCAGCTCAGAAAGTTTAATGGTTCCGTGTCCCGCAATCTGGGAAAAACTGCCATCGGCGATCTTGACCCGAGAAGGTTCAGAATATGGAGTGTATGAACAAAACAAGCCAAGATTACCTGTCATATGATCAGAGGCTCCAGAATCAAGGATCCAATGATTTTGACTATCAACATGGAAAGTTGTACCTTGCTGGACCACATGACTAGTGGCCTTAGGAGGTTGCTCGTGGTAATAAAAAGAGTGTTTTGAGGAAGCCATGAATAAAAAGAGAAGGGTTGACCGTTGATGAAAAATCAAGTTTTGTAAACTTTTGATCTGACCTCTGCAACAGGAAGGGGAGAAGCCGGCGAGAAGGTCTGTGCAAGTCGCGACGGAAAAAAAACGTCTGGAAGGCGGCGCGTGGTGGCGCGTGCAGCGGCTGACGGCGATGGGTCCAGCGGCGGTCGACTCGTCGGATCCTTCTGAGTCGAATGGTCACCTCACTTTTTTGATCGGAGGTCAGTAAACTAGGTTTCTGTGTTGGACAGATTCAAGGCGGTGTTTAGGAGGTGTTTGACGGTGATGGAAGTGTTTGGATGGTTATTTCAGATTTGAATTAGGGTAGGAACGAACCCGCTCTGATACCATATTGAAAAGAAGTTTTTGTATATTGATATTGAATAAATTACATGAGTGAGTATTTATACAAGAAAGAATCGCTAAGAATGACTAAGCGATGACTAATCAATCCTATCACAATCCTAATCACAATTAATCCTAATCAATCATAATCAATCCTAATCAATCATAATCAATCCTAATTAATAGGAAATAAAAACGGAAACATGTTTGAATTCTAATTTTCTACAGATTTTACTCTGAAAATCTTGCAATTTTTAAACTCCAATTTTAGTAATTTTGTGTGCACATCTATTAGTGAGTGCCTGTCTGTTATGTCTTAAGTAAATTAAAGAAGGCATGTCAGTTTTCTCAGTGAACAATTAAGCTACCCACATGGTTGTGCATGGTTTAAACCTCAGGAGGCCTTAGAAATGGTTGGCATTTTCCTGTTACCTTTATAATTTGGGGCAAAAGTTACTTTATCTGGTTCGTACATAATGCCATCATAAGCTTTAAAAGAAATGCTTTGTTTAGATGGTGATAAGGAGGGGAAGTGATGGGAAGGAAGTGAAAAGTGTCTAAACCCTTGTTTGGATGATTTGTAATGAGAGGGAGGGGGAAAGAAATAAGCCAGATCATTGAATAAATATAATCTGCTGTATTAGGGTCATGGGGCAGCCTTATAATGTGTTTTTAGGATGTTGGTGTTACATAGCTTCTCTATGTTGTGTAGTGGAAATCATCTGTACAATTTACTAGTTTTCTCCAGCTCTCTTATCCCTTAGCCATGTTTATTATTTTGATACTGACCTTTTGTACACTTTGATTATAGGATTTGCTGGATACTTTAATGCAACTCTTTACAAGGATGTGCATCTTGGAATTGAACCTTCAACAGCGACACCAAATGTGTTTACTTGGTATTGACTTTTTGTCCCCTCCATTTTTAGTTTATTCTTTTGGGTTATGAAATTTTATTAGAGCAGCAAACAAGTAAGTACTTGATGAGAGGATAAGATATTCTCCTAAAAGAAACCGCAACATACAAAATAAATAAATAAATAAGAGGATAAAACACATCAAGTAAGCAAAGCTTGTCAATCTGTGCTTATATCCACCAAAAAGCCCCTTCTAAACTAAAATAGCCACTAGTAGAGCACCAAAAATAAGCTAAGGAGACTTTTTAATGCCAAAGCAATAACCTATTGACTAAACAGAAAGAAAGACTGAAAATAAGGTGATAAGGACCTTCTACTCAAATATAGAAATTACACAAAGAACAATGACTTTGGTCTGAATAATCAGATTTTCGTATATTCATCAAGAGATAAGTACAATCCGGAAACAAGACAATTACAAAGAAAGGAGAAAATTACAATGAACTGGAAATGCACTAACAGAAAATAAAATAACAGTAAAGGATAATTCTAGAGGAATTCTAGAGCCCCTAGTCTCTCCCAAATCACCCTAAGGTGCCCAAAGTTCCAAATGCCCATAAGATGCCTCTCCTCACTTCACTATTGCCTTTTAACTACCTCACCCTCTCTCCTTGCCACCTCATCCCTTCTAATAGAATTGGAGCCTTCCAACAACCTCATCTCTAGAATATTCTCTTTATTAGCTAAGTCATCCTTCCTAAATAATTCCCTGTAGCAAGTCTTAGGATAAACCATTAGTGGGGTCCTACTCCTATCAGTAGACCCCCCCTAAACACTCACCTTGCCCTCAAGGTGAGGTTTAGCCCTCAAGAGCCTTCCACCGGGATCCCATTGTTTGAATTGTAAGAGCCAACATATATCAAAAGAATAACAACTTCTTCCATCGTGCTTGTCAAACCTTGTTGCCTTAGCATAGGTCTTACAATTTTTCTCAGCTTCAACAGAGGCAAAATCCTTCAACACATTCTCCACTTTGTCTGCAACTTCAGGTTTGGATGGGGCTAACAAGATGGAAGCAACATCAAAATCCAAAGTTTCTTCATGTTTACACAACTGTGCCAATGCTTCTGACATATAATAAAATGATTTATAGGAAGTATTATCAATTTTCCCAGCTGCACAACAGTCACTTAAAACCATACAAGCATCATGTATGCATTTTCTCTTAAGCAATAGTGTAGCACGAATACATGGACAATCATGATTTAGTGCAGACCTAAAAATATGACAATACCCATTCAATATTTCATTACAAGCCTCCATTACATAATCGAGTTTCCCTACCTTCATTAAATCAAAAAGCCCTTATGCTCTGTTTTCCTTACCATGCTGCCACAAGCCCACAACCCTTTCTGCCTGCGTCTCAATCATAGGGGTCTCACCAATTACTGTCCAAGCATCCAAGTTCAGCGTTCCTAGTGGTGGAGGCTCAACCAGTCTCCTTGAATTCCAGTAGTTTGTGGCCATTTCAAGCTCTTCTTCTTGCGTTCTTTTCTTCTACTCCTCGATTGCAAGATGCGGGGAAAGATTGCCACATACTGTCACCATCACTGTTGGCTTCCATCTTGTTTACGTCAAACTTCTCTGTCATCTGTAGTAATTTTGAAAAATCTCCAATCATGTGTACTCCTCCCTTGACCTCTTCCTTTAGAGTTTCCTTTCTCCTTTTCATGATATCCCATTTCTCTAACTCAGAGTTACTTTGCAATTTTGTTTTCAACTCCGAATGCTCTGTTTCTACTTTGAAAAATCTCCAATCATTCGTCTTTTTCTGAAGTTCCTTCTCGTTCTCGTTTAAAAGTCCTCGGTTCTCCTTATGCTCAACGTCTTTGTCTATTTTATCTTTAATAAATCCCTTATCATCCTCATCCTCTTCTTTTTTAATGGCATCAGCCTTCAGATCTTCCATTACTTTTGTCACCAAGCCAACTCTATTCTCTTCTTCTACCCCTTCCATGATCTCCGCCTCCTCCCACACAGATTTTTGTTGCTGTTCTTGAGGCTAAAATTTTGCATCATCTACCAAAAAGATTTTGGGTAAATAGTTCTCTATTAATGCCTTCTCAAAGTCCCTCCAACTTGCATTAAGATTGAACCATCTCCAACCTTGATACCAGCTGAATAGATCAGCCCTCTCACAGCTTCCTTCAACTTATCATGTTCATTGATTCTTTCTATCTGGAAAAATTGTTGCAAATAGATCAGCCATCCCCAAGCTTTATCATCTTGTCTGTCTCCATAGAACTTTGGAACTTTGCTTCTTTGTAATTTTCTTCCAAACGTGGCCATGGTTCATAAAGCTTCCGGATGATACCAATTGATAAGGACCTTCTACTCAAATATAGAAATAATACAAAGAACAATGACTTTGGTCTGAATAATCATATTTTCGTATATTCATCAAGAGATAAGTACAATCCGGAAACAAAGACAATTACAAAAAAAGGAGAAAATTACAATGAACTGAAAATGCACTACAGAAAAGAAAATAACAGTAAAGGATAATTCTAGAGGAATTCTAGAGCCCCTAGTCTCTCCCAAATCACCCTAAGGTGCCCAAGGTTCCAAATGCTCAAAAGATGCCTCTCCTCACTTCACTACTGCCTTTTAACCACCTCACCCTTTCTCCTTGCCACCTCATCCTTTCTAATAGAATTGGAGCCTTCCAAGTTCCAACAACCTCACCTCTAGAATATTCCCTTTATTAGCTGAGTCATCCTTCCTAAATAATTCTTAGGATAAACCATTAGTGGGGTCCTATCATAAGGATTGCGAGAAAAATACTATTTCTCTTTTTTGAAAAAAACAAGCAAATAACAATAAGGTTCTCCTAGCCTTAAATAGGCAAAGCAAAATAAAATAAAACGGAATCAAAAAGGAATCATGCGCAATAAAAGGAAATAACGCACAATCAACGCACACTCAAACATAATCTTAAAATAACAAAAAAGGAAATAACTTGCAATTAATTAAAAGGGAAGGATATTGTAACAACCAAGTTATGTTACTACCAATCAATCTCACCGTTAGATCGATTATGTTGATCCAACCGTTATATTTATTTCCATCTTTGTATGGTCATGATTTCCCAAATTTAATACTTTATATTTATTTTCACCTTTGTATGGTTATGATTTCTCATATTTAATGTTTAAATATGAGAAATCATAACCATACAAAGGTGAAAATAAATATAATCGTTGAATCAACATAATCAATCTAATGGTGAGATTGATTGGTAGTAACATGGTAATAACATAACTTAGTTGTTACAATATCCTTTCCCTTAATTAAAATCCCTAAACTATGAAATAAATTATGGAAAAGCCCAATCCAAGTCAGTCAGTTCGGGTGCATCACTTTTCTCCCATAAAAGTGGTGAAGGATAAATTTATCTTGAAAATGTTCACTCATTCCTGTGACACTATACTCATCAAATCACAACATACATTGCATGTTGCCAAAGAGGCCTGGCCTTTGCTCCCCTGCAGAAGTACTAAAAGGTTTGCACCGCAAACATACATAGCTTGACATGTGAACATAGATGGCTGACAGTCTCAGAATGAAAGGAGCACATACCACAAACTTGGGAAGAGAGCTGGGTGGTCTCAAACTTGCAATTGTGTTGTCCTTGGAAAGTTTTGATTCTTAATTACATTTCAGTAAAAGATAATTTAGTTGAATTTGATAGAGGCATTTGACAGACATTCCTTGGACGGAAAATTACTACTCCCTCTGATTCAGATATAATACCATTACTATTTTAAACAGTTACAGGAATAATGTGAATCAAATTCAATTACAAATGGAGGCAAAGTGTATTCAGATTGTTGCCAATATGTTTATATTTAATATCTGAATTTCAATTCAAAGAATAAAGTGAGAAGTTAAAGAATGAAGCATTTAGAACATTAGAGATATTGAGGCATTCTAGTTGGGAATGTCCTTGTAAAATTATTTGATGCCATCATTATGATGTTGTCCTTTGTCAATTTGTGCAAGATAAGCGACAATTTGTTTATGGGAGTTATTAATCTTATGTCACATAAGATAGGTATCTTATGTGAGTGAAACAAAGTTGTCGAGCCTAAAATTTTTAAAAAATTAAAAAAAGGAAAGAAATATGAGCACAAGATTCTATGAGTGTGCAACATAAGACAATTATTTTATGTGATATAAGACAACTATTTCCCTTTGTTATAGTTGGCTATTGGAAAATAATATTTTGAAAAATGAAAAGAACAAAGAATTTTGATGTGGATTTGGTAACTATTATTTAACTGTTTTATCCACTATCCTCCCAACATTGCATGGTACTATGTGACCATTAAATATATCTCTACATATGTGGTTCCTATTAGTTGTTTAACGCATGGACTGTTAATGTTTATTCTTGTCTTGATCAGTTGCATATCCTCTTATGAATAATTATTTGGTATTTTTTTAAGATTTTTTTAGGTGGTAATTTGTTTGGTCAAATGGTGCCGAAACTTCTAATGAAAAGTTCATTTAACTGCATTTATTGTGAGATGAGAATGCATTTTTGACTTCTTCATATTATTTTGCAAGATGCTTTATTAGAGTACTCTCCTAGATGGGCATTAGGTGGTTTTTTCTTTTTTTGGTACACAGATGGATATTAGATGTTTTGTGTGTTCAATAAGATTTGTGGGATAATTTTTATTTTATTTTTACATGTCCACCCTGTATTACGACTTACGCAGTTGCCTAATCCAATGTTTTGTTCTCTTTTACTTTCCCACTGTCAAAAAATTTCTTTTCGAAAGGAAAACACTGCAAATATGAGATCTTTTTGGCCCTTCTTTTGGAACTGTAAAGGTTTAGTTTAGTAAGAAATCATAGATGAAAGGGAATTGAACTCGGTTTTCAACCCTACATTTTGTTTGGTCTTTTCTGCAGGTTTGCAATGTTTTTTCCATTAAGGATTCCTATTTGTGTGGCTCGTGGTTCTACCCTGGAAGTACATTTCTGGCGCTGTCGTGATCCTGCAAAGGTTGGTTCTGTATCATTTCTGCATTTCATGTTGCCTCTATTTTTCTATTTCATATTTTTTATTTTTATTTCTTCATGGAATCTGAAACAGGTTTGGTATGAGTGGTGTGTTACATCTCCTTCTTTATCTCCAATTTACAACAGTAATGGTCGCTCATACTGGATGGAGCTTTAGTGGAAAGCAAATGATATATTTCAAAAACTGTTGTATTGTCCTCACAGCTGACGAACAAACTGATTTTTAGAACTCATATCTCAGTGGTTCTCTTAATTCATTTTAGAAAATCATGCTGATCATTAAGATGTTTGAGATTATTCTCTATATGGTTGTCATTCATCCAATGAACATACAAATTTCTTGTAAACTGAGAGATTTGAGCTTGCTCTTGGATTCACGGTATGGAAAAGATTTTGTCATTATCCAATCATGTCTCTTTTGTAATAATCATAATCAAACTTGTTAAATGCTATAATTAAACATTGTAAGATGATAATAGTAGTGTTAAAATTTTGCGCTGACATTTTCTCTGTAAAGAGTATTTGGTGAGTGATATTTACTCCTATATTAGTTGGTGATATTTTAGTGTGAGCTCCAAGGGACACGTAGGTCTGAGAAAGGAAGCCGGGAGCTTATGTTGGGGAAAAAAGAAAGTAGAGGTATATTCATAACCAAGTTTCTACCATATAGGTATATGCCATGTAGTATCCAATGTGCACGAGCCATAAAAAGGGTTTTTTTTTTATCCTTTCGTTATTAATTAATTAATAATTATTTTATCCCTTACTTAAAACTATCCACCAATCTACTCATCTTTAATTGATTAACTGCAATATTTAATCGGTTAAATGATCAAAACACGTAAAAATTGTTGACCCAAGGTTTAATCAATTAAATATCCCTCGTAATTGATTAAACTTCGAAATATTTAATCGATTAAAATTTTTAATTAATCGATTAAACCTCGGCAGAAATGTTTGGAGCATATTTTTTAAAGAAAGTTTATATTTTCAAAGAAAAGGAGAAAAACCACACATTAAACAAACTAAGTCTTGGTGGAAAAGCATTTCGGTGGAAGATTCGGCTTTAGTGGAACGCAAATGATATTTCAAAAACTAAGTACGGATTGAAAATTGATTTTCGGAATTAATATCGTAGTGGTCCTCTTAATATCATCAATTCATTTTAGGAAATCATGTTGTACAAAAAAGATGCTTGAGAAGATTTATCTGGCCGCTAATTACTCATCCAATATAAGTGCAAATTTGTTGGAAATTTTGGTGAGATTCTTTTGTGTTTAGTTTTGTTTTAGTCCGCCGGATGACCTGCCTGACAATAGCTGTCTGATTGGACCACCATCACTTGGCACAAGGAGCACATGACTCCTTTGTATATGTCTTCCCTCATATTTTCTACGAAGGCATGACTCTTTACATATCATGGGTTATGCAGTTTCACACTTAGTGGAGCTTACAAGGTTGGAAACGGTTATGACATCACACTTTGTATAGTTGGAAGAAGTCTTAAACCTTCTATATTAAGTGATCTTAGCTCCCTCACTGCTTATCTTTTATATTCACTCTCTATTTTTATTACTCTATTGAAATTTCTCATAAGCCGTAGCAGTAGCCCTCAGACACCTCCTCCCTTTACACCCTTAGTTAGGCTGAAGTTAGTATGGTGATATCTCAAAACTCTAGTCTATACCACTTTGTACACTTGGAGGGAGTCTTCAATCTTATATGTTAAGGGATCTCAGTTCCCTCACTGTTTATCTTTTCTATTCACTCTCTATTATTATTAATCTGTTGAAATCTCTCATGAGTCGTATCAGTAGCCCTCAAACATCTCCTCCCCTTGTTTACCAATGAGAAGGTATTTTGATTTATTTTCAGTCTCTTTAGTTATTGTTATAGTGGATGATTATTATTTTTAACTTTTATATAAACTCTCGTGAATGGAATAAAAAAATAACCAGAGAGAAAAATTATTTTATACACTTATCTGTTTCAGACATGACTTTTTCAATATAATTCAATTTTCATAAAAAAATCTTATATGTGATAAAAAAAATAGTAAATTCTTTTTTTAGAGGAGTTTAATCCTTTAACCATTGATATAACGTAGGAGTTTTATTTATGGGTTTGATGTTTCTCATGTTGTAAGAGATAAAATTATTTTCTATACACACATAAAAGTATGTGGGACTGTGAATAGAAGAAAGAGAAAAAAAATGGGTCATACATATTTTTATATGTGTAGAAGAAAAAATAATTTTCTACTATATGAGAGACAATAAACCCTTTATTTATTTATCTTCAAATTTTTTTGGAAATAGATCCTCTAATGTGAAAAAAAAAATTGACATGGTCATGTGAGAAGATCACAACCATACAAAAGTAAATCAACGGTTATGATTTTGTGACTATATATTTTAATATATTTTCTCTCTCCTCCTTTATTACCATTGATCTACCTTTGTATGGTTATGATTTCTCACATGACATGGTCATGTGATTTTTCACATTAGAAGATCCAGATCCAATTTTTTTTAGAGGAAGTCTATCGTTTAGTCAACTTTAAATTATTCTCCAAGGCGCTTATGCAAGATTCGAGCCCAAGTAATCTCAAGACATGAAAGTCATAAATAAATGGGTCTCACTAATGGGTGTCCTAAAAGTACTTGTCAAGGAATAATTAAAAGTTTGTAAGAATTTGATGAGTAATCCTTAACGACTGCCTTCGGCTTTAAGTGTTTGAATTTGCGTTAGTTCAATAGGGGTGCCCATTGTTTTATTGATAGGCTATTTTCTTTTTCTTTTTTTCAGGCTAACACGGTAGACTTAATTACTACTAAGTGCAACGCAATTACACAAACTTCCTTGCAACTAATCCCAACATTTAGAATTTAAGATTTTTAATAGTGGTTCTACTCATAGCGTACATAAGATGTGTTCCATGGAGGGTGAAGTATCTTAATATAGGGGGTGTCCACAGTGGCCTTGGTAGAGACCAAGCCACTAGTGAAGCTTCCCATGTATGTGCTCAAGGGGGAGTGTGTGTGAGGGCTCTGCATAGAGGCAGAGTGACAGCATATGAAAGTGGGGAAGCAGAAGCTCCCCTCTCCATGTGTGAGAGGGGTATTTAGAGAGGAGAGTTCTCTCTTCATGGGGGCTTGAGCTGGTCAGCCCATGAGCTGTCTCATCAAGCTGCCCACTGTCAGTGTACAGGGACAGCAGTGCAGGGATGAGAAATGTCCCAGTGGTGAACCTTTATGGCTTACCATGGGTGCCCTCTAGAAGATTCTACATGTGGGCTTTAAACGATTGGGCCCATCTGGTGGGCCTTAGTAAGTAGCATCCAGAACAAAACTCCATGCATGTTACCCCAATCAAAATCTAAATTGCAAACAAAACAACTGTGACATAGAAAATAACAGCAGAGCGAAAAGAAATGAATGGAAGCAATTGTGGTAGGTAAGTAGGTTTGACAAATATGAAACCAGAAGAAGATTAAAGCAGCAACAGCTTTCAGCTTGGGCAAGTGACCTTCATTCTTAGAAGAAACTGGAAGCTTATACAGTTTCCATTTCAATGCATTTTCTTAATTGGGAAAAATAATATAGTGGGTATGATCGAGTTGCCTATTATTCTTATGATTAGCTTTTCTTTTACAATTTTTTATTATGAATTTGGAAATTTTCAATTAAAAATTTGCTTGTTTCGTCCCTTATCATTTTACCTATCTTTGGTGTGTGTTGGAGGCTTGGAGTACGAGAGTATTTCATGTTAATTTATTTTTGTTTTATTTTGTAAGGGTGATTTGGATTAGCTTTGATCTAGATAAACTACAATAAGTCCACAAAAAGGTTAAAGCCTATAATAGACCCAAGTATATACAGGACCCATGAAATGTGCAATGTCACCATCGCGCAAAGGACCCAAAGGCGCAATGGCCTCATTGTGCCTAACCGTCTTATATGACTTAAAAGCCAAGGAAGGATCCTATAACAAACTAAGATCCACTGCGCTATAAGCCAATACACGAAAGACAGCTCCAGCTTGCCACCACTCTAAGAAGGCAGTTCAATATATAGATGTATAGCCAGAAAGACATCAGCTGAGACAGATAAGTCTGCAGCCCATAAACAACCAATCAGAAGGCACACCGTCTACCAAAGCCGGCATAAGATTTTCTATATAAACCAAGGGTACACACCCAGGTATGATCATCTCATTCCAATAATATTATAACATTAGCCTAACATTGATACTAACTTGAGCATCAGAGTATCATTGCAGGTATCCCCTTCCCCCCCAATCAGATCCATTACGCCAAGAAAGCTCAACATCCATTAACTACATAGCAGACAACATCAACCTACGAAGCACACCATCCAACCCTAAGTCTTCGATCATCAACTGTGTGTGGTCTAGCCCAGTCCATATTGGCCAATCCATATTGTACTGGATAGATCAAGCTTCATGTAATGCTCCACTTGGATTAGCTTGTAGATTGGATATGTCGATATATTTCCTTCCGAACCCATAAAAGCAAACATAGAATTACAGCCTTTTTTGTATATATGTTTGTTAAGGAACACAAACCCTTAATTGGTATCTCAATTAACAGAACAATGAAAACAGAGGAAAGAACAAGAAAAACTGAAGAACCAAATGTATATTTTTCAATAATCCCCACCGAGTGTCCAAAGGGTACTTTTGTTACATCTATACTCAGGAACCTCCCATGACTAACAACACACTACCCACCTCATTTAACCAACTAACACCTGGACACCCTTACATCAGTCCCTCTATGTAATTGGACCCACTATGCCTCACTAATGTAATCTTTGGCCCACGAAGGGCCCCCAACCATTCTCTTTAGCTTGGGCCTGTTATCAGTAATCTTAACATTCGCCCCTGCTACAACAGAAACCTTGTCCTCAAGGTTTGATCTGGGCAATGAAAAAATTGGATAATGCACAGTGAGATCATCCTCATTCTCCCAAGTTGCATCTTCTGGAAGAGAGTTGGACCACTAGATCAACCATTAAGTACGTCTTCCCTAAGCATCCTGAAGAACCCAACACATTAAGGCAGCCAAAGGACGCTGAATTGGACAATTTTCACTATTGTTGTCTGGTAAAGGCAAAGCTACAGTAGATCCATCTCCCCTATATGGTTTAAGCACAGAAATATGGAAAGATGAATAGATCTGACAACCTTCCGGCAACCCAATCTAGTAAGCTATAGGACTTAATACTCTCACCACTGGAAAAGGACCAAAATACCTCTTGGCCAGCTTCTGATTTCTGCGATTCGACAATGTGATTTGTCTAAATGGCTGTAATTTTACTAAAACCAAATCACCAACAGTAAAAGAAGCATCCCTCCTATGCTTATCAGCTTGTGCCTTCATTCTGTTTTATGCACTTTGCAAATGTGTCTTCACGCCTCAACAACTCATCACGGTGGATCAAGGTAGTATGAAGTATCCACAGCTTCAACGCAAACTGAGCCTCTGGGATATGGAGGAATCATAGATGGTATCTTGGCATAGAGTTCTTGAAATGGTGTAATCCCAATAGATGAGTGAGTTGCAGTGTTATAATGGTACTAAGCCCATCCCAAATACCCAGCTCACCTGTGATTTTCATCGTGATAGAATGCTCTAATATATTGTTCCAAATATCGATTGGTGACCTCAGTTTGCCCATCCGATTGAGGATGGTAAGCTGTGCTTGTCCTTAAGGTTGTGCCACTGCATTTGAAGAACTGTGACCAAAATTTACTCACAAAAATTGCATCACGATCCAAAACAATTATTCTAACCCATGTAATTCCACCACCATTTCAAAAAATAAAGAAGCCACTTTCTCAACAGTATATGGATGAGCTAGAGCACCAAAGTGTGCAAATTTTGTCAAATGATCGACCAATACCAAGATGACATTAAATCCCTTAGAATTTGGTAATCCAGTAATGAATTCCATACTTAAATCCTCAAAGACTCTTTCTGCATCGGTTGAAGTAAACCCATTGGTGGTGAAGTAACTTTTTTAATTAATTGGCAAATAGAGCACCTCTTGACAAAATCTGTGACATCTTTCCTCATACCCCCTCCCCCCAATAAAATGAAGTTTTGAGCCTAAGGAGAGTATGAGTAATGCTTGCATGCCCTCCCATGGGCGTGGAGTGTGCCTCTTTTAATACAATTTTCTCAAATCAGAACTGGAACCTAACAGGAAACGATCCTTATGATAAAAGATTACATCTCGTTCGGTTATATCAGTGTTCCCCAATTCCTTCCTTTGTAACTTCAACCGTATACTAACCAATTTAGGATAAAAAAACGTTCTCTATTGTGATCTGCTCAACCATTTGAAAGGTTGCCTCTGACACCAGGAATAAGGACATACCTGTCTGCTCATCCTCCATACACCTTGATAAAGAATCTGCAACAATGTTAGCTGAATCAGGTTTGTATTCAATGGTGAAATCAAACCCCATAAATTTACAAGCATATTTATTTTTGCTCAACCATCTGAATCGTTTGGTTGAGGAGCTTCTGTGATCAGTGGGTATAAAAAATTTGGACCCCAACAAGTAGTGATGCCATTTCTTTACGGCTTCTGTCACTGCATACAATTCTTTGACATAAGTAGAGGCCACATGCTTTCTTGGACCAAGCTTTTTGCTAAAGAAAGCAATGAGACGATTTTGTTGTTGAAGGACATCCCTTATGCCTAAAGATAAGGCATTTGTTTCCACTATAAAGGGCTTGGTGAAGTCAGGTAAAATCATCACTAGTGTCCTAGACATTATTTCCTTTAAATCCTCAAACGATTTCTTAGCCTCTCCACTTGAATGGAAGGATTCAGATTTCAACATATCAGTCAAAGGTGAGGCAATTGCAGCATAATTCCTGATAAACCGTCTATAGTACCCTTTGAGACTAGTAAAACCTCTTAATTGCTTCACATTTTTCGGTTGTGGCCACTGTATCATTACAAAAATCTTCTTAGGGTCAGCCTTTACTCCAACCCCTGATACCAAGTGACCAAGGTAATCGATTCCAGCCAATGCAAAACCACATTTACTGAGCTTAACCATGAACTGATTCTCTTGCAAATAGCTCAAAGTAACTGTGAGATGCTTATAGTGCTCCTTGATAGATCCACTGTAAATTAGGATATCATCAAAGAATACTATAATGAATCTTCGAAGGTAAGGCCGAAACATGTGGTTCATGGCTGCTTGAAAGGTTGAGGGAGCAATGGTTAAGCCAAATGACATCACTAAAAACTCATAATGCCCTTCATGAGTCCTAAAAGCAGTTTTTGATGTTTTTTCAGGCACCAAGAGGATTTGATGGTAACCACTCTGCAAATCTAACTTGGAAAAGACCTTAGCTCCCTTGAGTTCATCGAGAAGTTCATCTATTGTGGGAATTGGAAAACGATCTTTGATTGTGATGATGTTCAAAGCCCGGTAATCAATACACATTCGCCAAGAATTATCTTGCTTTTTTACAAGCAAGACTGGTGAAGAGAATGGGCTCCTACTCTCCTTGATAAAACCCAAAGCCAATAATTCTGAAACCTGTTTCTCTATCTTCCCCTTCTGGTGGTGTGTATATCTATATGGCCTCACATTAACAGGCTTAGCCCCCTCTACCAAATGGATAGCATGATCACAACCTCTAGGTGGTGGCAACCCTTGTGGCAACTGGAAAACAGATTAAAATTGCACCAAGATATCTCATATTGCAGCAGGGATTTTGGATTTCAATTCCAATAATTCAGGTAATATGTCAGATACACACTCCCCTTCCAAATGAAAACATTTCGGATCAACTATTTTTCTGGTCTAGCCAGAAATTTCTCCATGTAAAATCACCCTCCCATCCTTGGACATGAACTTCATAGATATCTCAGCATAATCATGGATAACTCTTCCAAGTGCACTTAACCATGAAATTCCCAAAATGACTCCCAAATTGGCTAATTCTATCACCCACAAATCCACAGTAAAAGTGTACCCTTGAATGTTTAATGGAACCCCAAACATTTTCTTTCACAGATTAGGAATTCTCCATTTTCCAAAAAAACACGCATTCGTGGAACTTTTACAATTGATAACCCACCAGCCTCTACTAATCTCTTTTGGATAAAGCAATGAGAACTACTACAATCCACAAGAACAGAAACTAACCTTCCTTTGAACTCCACACGAAACTGAAGTGCCCTGGGATTTTGTTCCCCTGCTAGCAGATGCAACACAACTTCATGAGACTCCTCTTGAGTAGGTTCAGGTTGCCAAACAATTTGTTCTTCTGCATCACTTGCTAAATCCTCTGAATCCCCTAACATCAAAAAAAGCTTGCCCTTACACCGATGACGGGAGGTCCACTTTTCATCGCAACTGTAACAAATCCCCAAGTCTCTTTTCTTTTGTAATTCTTCATGAGACAATTTTTTAAAAGGAACAGATGAAGGTAGAGTAGGAACCACAGGTTTCTGGTTTGGCAGAATAGTAGCAATGAGATTTGGTTGCTCCACATTATAGGTATTCTTAACAAAATCCTTCTTGATACCTGGAGATGAAAATGAAGAGCGCAGTTCCATAAAATGTGCACCATAAGTAATCGCCAGTTGCATTGCTTGATGGAGCGATGTTGGAGAGTAAAGTTGAATAGCTCTTCGTAATTCAGGCAACAAACCAGATACGAAGAAACACATTGACACTTCATCAGAGAACTCAGTGACTTGATTAATCAAAGCCTCAAAGTTCCTGATGTATTCACTTAATGTCCCATCTTGTGTTAACTTCGAAAGGACCCCACGCAGATCCTGATTGCAGTACCCCCAAATCTATGACGAACCGCAAGTTTTAGATCCTCCCTAGATTGAATAGAACCTCCATTGAACAACCACTGGAACCATGGCCCCGCTAATCCCTCCATTTTCATCCCAGCTAAACGAACCTTAATGGTTTCCAGTACTTGATGTAAGCCAAAATACAACTCCATACGAAAGATCCAGCCATTTGGATCCGCTCCATTAAAAATAGGAAGCTCCATACGAATAGACTTCAGCAACGATGTAGGATCATTAGGATCCATTCGTAGTTAATGCGCTCCACCAGAATCCGTGGAAGATGATGAATGTGCTCCTCTTGATTGAACATTTTCACCATGATGAGCCTCGGCACCAATCATCGCTGCATGAATTTGCTGAAGCTGCACGTTGATGCTAACAAATTGGTTCTGGTGATCATTGAACCGTTGTTCCACCCTAGCTTGCAGATCCTCAAAATTTCGCTCGATACGAAGCTGAAAAGATCCAAATTCTTCAGCTAAATCTTGAACACGCATTATAAATCCCTTGAGGAGCTCAAAAGAGTTGAAAGCACCAATGTTAAGGGACGCGGACCCTTAAATGGTATCTCAATTAACAGAAGAGGAAAGAACAAGAAAAACTGAAGAACCAAATGTATATTTTTCAATAATCCCCACTGAATGTCCAAAGGGTACTTTTATTACATCTGCACTCTGCAACCTCCCATGACTAACAACACACTACCCACCTCATCTAACCAACTAACACCTGGACACCCTTACATTAGTCCCTCTATGTAATTGGACCCACTATGCCTCACTAATGTAATCTTTGGCCCACGAAGGAGCCTCAACCATTCTCTTTAGCTTAGGCCTATTATCAGCAATCTGAACAATGTTATGCTTGAGCGATGTTCAAATTTTGCATCGAAATGACATGGGAAAAATATGTTGGGAATGCAGGGACTGGTATTAGCAGTAGTGTAGCCACTGGGCCTCAGCTACATTTCAACAAATTTTATTTATCATATATAATTATATAAGTAATTATAATTGGGCCCTAGCTAAAATTGTAACAATGGTAACAGACGAAGATTTGGAGTTGCTTTGCGTATATGACCATATAACAGATTATTTTCTTCTAAATTTCTTCTTCTTCTTCTTTCATCTTTTTCCAACCTTTTTTTCTTATTCGCACTCACCACCCGAAACCTAGTTATTCTGCGACAAGGTACTATGTTTTGTTCCTTTCTCAAGATTTTATAGATACATGTTCTTGAAATATGCATTGGTAAGTATATTGTTTGTTCCACTAGAAGGAAAAATTGATTTACAATTTTGAACTTTGTAAAAGAGAAATTTGTTGTCTTTGCTGACCATAATTGTTTATTGGATGTTTATAACATGAGTGAAATTCATTCCCCCCCCTTTTTTTAGTTACAACTTTTTTTTTGTGGTTGCATTTATTGATTTTATTTCTTTTGAAAAATGGAGTGCTATTTTATGTTTATATTTTTTTAAATTATTTTAATGTAGAGTTACAGTTGCTATTTGTAATGAAATTGAATTGTTTCTTGGTGTTATTTGTATTTGATTTCACAACAAGAATGTGAATTTTGGCTATTAATCAGTAAAAACTGTTAAAGAAAAAAATCAATGAAGATATATGTATATATATGCAGTATGACAATTTCTTGTACATATTCATTAATAATTTCTTTATTTTTTTGTATTTTTAAAATATCTAAACACTGATTAAATGATTTATGTGGATTAAATGTTATTTAAATGATTTTAGACATTTCTCGCTGATTGTTCCATGTTTCTTTTTTTTGGTATAACCTGGAGGTATCCACATTCAACCTCCTCCGATCACCTTGTCCTCGGAGTACGGTCCCGAAAGCTACCCCCTCATTGGAATAGCGGGTGCATTAAGCTTTGCCAGTGGAGGAAGGATGAGACTAATTCCACATTCGAGGAGAGAGATACGTCCTCTGGCCCCCAAAGATTTTCCAAGAATTTGTTTGAGGCAGGGTTTGAATCCCTGACTCAAGCAAACCCTTGGGAGCTCCATGTTTCTTTTTAATTGTGAAGTTTGTTGTCCCACTACATTGATGTTCTTCACAGGTCACTACTAGGGGTATAAATAGGCCAAATTAGGCCAGATTTTGGCTTTGATAGCCTAAGTCTGTGTAAATGGGCCAACTTAATATGACCTGTAAGGCCTACTAAGTTGCAAACTAAAATTTATTGGCCCAGACCAAATTAAAATATAAAAGATAAAAAAAATTATTCACAAAGATCACATGAAATAAATTTTCATTAACATCACATGAAATAATGTTCATAAAGATCACACAAAAATGTTCATAAAAATCACATGAAAATTTCATATATGTATACATTTAATTTGCAATTTCTTTACTAATTTAATTTTATATTATATTTTAAATTTTAAATAAATATTTATTATTTATTAAAATAACATCATTCCTATTACTTTAAAAAATTTAAGTAATTTTTTTTCTAATAGATTTATGTAATAACGAAAATATTTTAATAATTTGATACTTCAAATTTTTTGGCCCTGACGAAAATTAAATCTTTATTCCGTCGCTGGGTATTAGACAACAAATTTTTAGGTGAAAGTACTTTTGTTTTATGGCTTTTTCAGTTTATTGACTAGACGAAAGGAAATTGGAAAATTTCTGGACATGAGAATTATGCAAACTGTAGACACTTTTGGTTCAAAAGCTGTCTACGAGGTTACATATTGAAGGTATAAAAATTCTGGCATACTGTATTTCTTAGGTATAGAAGAATAGTATCTCAGTTTTGAAAACATTTTGAATTGATCTAATAGCAAGGTAAGGTGAGTGCAACTTTTACGGGACAGAATGGATTATAGGCTCTACTTTGGTGCTATGTTACAATAGCTATTGCCTTATGGTCTCTGTGATGCTCTTGGATTAGGGGATGCAATGTTGATGTGGTTTACTCCTTTTGGTGGAACTTTATTTTTAGCCTTGTGTGAGGGGATGCTATGTATTCTATCATTGAATTTTCTTATTTATTTCCACACTACTTTTGTCAAAATAAATGAATAAACTTGGTTCATATATATCACGACCCTTAATCAGGGATACAACGTATATAAAACCATTAAATAATAATGAAATCCCATAAAAGAAAAAGGTCCTAGTGCAGCCAAGGCACATTTACAGTTTTTCAGTCTAAGAAATAAAAAAATTGTAATTGTAAGAAGGAAAAAGTGTTTATCCTTTTAAATGACACAACTTATATCATTTCACTTTCATAAAGAAGTGGAACTCACACTTTTACTTTTTTTGTCAACTCTCTCCTCCTTTATCTATCTCTTTATCTTTTTTAAAATGACACAACTTTACATCCTTTAAAATGACACGCATTTTTCCCTTGTAAGAAAGTTTCATGCAATAATTTGAATTGTTATTCTATTTTGACAATTATAATATATCGAAATTAAAATTTTAATAAAATTATTTTAAAATATGAATATTTCTAAAATAATTTTTTTATCATTTAACTTATTTGTTTTAAAATAAAAAAATATTTATCATTTTAAAGAATACAACTTTATATTATTTTTTGTGAAACGACTGTGATTTGATAGTTTTTTACCTTATGTCTCCTTTATGATATTCTCTCTTTGTCTCTCCTCCTAATTTTGTGGAGGTGAGAGATCATAAAAAAACCACCAAATACATATCATAACACGGTCGTTTCATAAAATACACAAAGTTGTGTCATTTTAAATGATAAACATTTTTTATTTTAAAATATATAAATTTAATTTTGTAAAGATATATCAAATATAAATTCAAACTACTTAAAATATAATAAATGCAAGTTGAAACAAAATAATCAAAGTTCACCATATTATAAACTTAAATTTTAAGGATATTTATAAATCATTAATTATTATAAATTTAATCCATAAACACGAATGTTCTCCCTAATATAATCTTTATAGTTTTGAATTTGTATTTTATAGTTAAAAGTTAACCAAATTTATATAAACATAAATTGGTTTGTCCATTCTAATGGGCATATTATTATATTTATTATATACTTTTATATAAATTATATAAAATCATTAATGTAGCCTCAGCCATCAGCTTAAGCTTTTGGGTTGAATTGGTTCTTTACATGGTATCAGAGCTTGAGTGACTACAAGGTCACAAGTTCGATCTTCACCGCCCTTAATTTAAAGTGGAATTAAAATAAAAAAAACATAAATGTAAACCAAAAAAAATTGGGCCAGTGCAATATTCACGCTTCTAGCCCAAAGCTCTCTTGCGTGAGGGGGTGTGTTAGAAAATAACATATATCATTAAAAATGTCCTCACCCAACACCTTAAAGGCTCGTTTGGTGGACATGATAGAATAAGGATATGATATGAGGCTGATAAGGGTAGGATATGATATGAGGCTGATAAGCCTATATCATGTCCTGTGTTTGATGAGCATCTGATTAGCAAAATGATAAATTATGTAGAAGGAGAAATGAGAAAGAAAAAACAAAATTTAACGCAATAAATACAAATATATTGGGTAGTGTGGGGATATATTGGGTAGCGTGAGGATGTATTGGATATCCAATATTAGTATTTTATCATATTGAATCCTAATCCAGCTCCCCCCATAGGATAAGAAATCATGCATTGGATAGGATAAAGTGAGACAATAGGATAAGCTAATCATATCCTATTGACCCACCAAACCAAAGATAAAAATAGGATATGATAAGTTATCCTATCCTATCTTCTTTATCAGGTGCTCCAAACAGGCCCTAAGATTTTGGGTTGAAGTGGTTCTTTACAAATTCAATTTAACTTTTAATAATAAATATAAATTCAAAATAATAAATATCATAAAAAAGAAAAAAAAATTATGTTTATGGATTACCCATTGTTGAAGTTTTTGACTTAGTTTTCACATGGTGGGCATTATTTTCCAAACATGACAGGTTACTTATTTTTCACATGCGTTAGCTATTAGCTTTCACATTAGATGAAATTTTGCCTACATAAAGGGTGCTTAAACAAGTTACAAGGAGGAGTTTATTGGAGGAGAAATTTTTTTACACGAGAATCTTGATTTTGGGAATATGGTAGGAAATTGTTTTACTGTGAATGTTATCAAAAAAATTATTTGATAAATCAAAAAAATTCTGAAAATATTGAATTATTTTTCTATGCTATATTTGATTGACAATAAAACATTGATGTATGGTGATTTTACAA